ATGTACTTAGTACTGATAACGGACTGTCGCCGGGCGTCGGTTTGTTTTCCTTAATGGCGGCAATTTCTTTTGAGAAGCTTTCGGCTTGCGATCCCTTTATCCATTGTTCCTCGGCGCGTTGTATATATGAAGCAGGAATAAGTATGTAGTTTACAGTTTTATTATTTATCATATTTTGCGTAAATTTTTTAACGAGTTTATTTTTGTGTGTTCTTTTCCATGTTGGATCTTTTGTTGCCTTTTTCTTAGTACATTTATATTCGACAGTATGTTTACTTGGTTTACACAGGTCAATGAACTGAAGTACTCTTGCAGTTGTTCTTATCAGTCGTGTCCATTTGGAAAATCGAGTAATATTGGGGATCGTTCATTGTCGTGTTGTTGATCACATGACATTTGACGCGTTCTTCGCCCGTGTCCATGAGGGCAATGACCTTTTTATTTTGTGGCCATTCTTCTCTACTTTTTCTAAGGAACTCGGGGCCGCGAAACCATCTGTGTTCCGAGTTAAAATGTTCCGGTGTGCTGCGTGTCGCGTCGTCTGCCACGTTATCCTTCGAGGGTAACCATCTCCATTCATTTTTCTTAGTGAGTTCCTCAATTTCAGCCACACGATGCGCCACGAAAGTTTTAAATGAGCGTGGTTCGGCTTGAATCCAGGCTAGAGCGGTGGTAGAGTCGCTCCAGTATGTGAGGTCGTTGACCTCGTAGTCGTGTTCTTGTACGACTGTCCGGGCTAGGCGCGCTCCCAACAGTGCGGCTTGCAGCTCCAGCCTAGGTATTGAAATGGGTTTGAGTGGGGCTACCCTGCTCTTAGCTGCCGCCAGGGTCACTTGTACGCTGCCGTCTGACCTCTCTGTTCGCCAGTATACCGCTGCGGCGTATGCCTCCTCGCTAGCGTCTACGAAAGTATGTATACCCCTAGCGGTAACGTCACCGTAATCGTAGCAGCGTGGGATCAGCAACGTTTCTATAGTACTCAGTGACTTCATCCACTCTTTCCATTTCGGTAGTAGATCTTCGGGGAGCGGCTTGTCCCACTCCGTTTTGTATTTCCACGTGTTTTGTAGTATCCTTTTAGCTGGTATAGTGATAGGTGAAATAATCCCTAGTGGGTCAAATACAGACATAATTATACTGAGCGCCTCCCGTTTGGTGGGTGGGCGTGTGTTGTTTAATAATACAATAGGCGTTTTGTTTTTATTAATTCGGAATATGAAGCAGTCTTTTTCAGTATCCCATCGTAGTCCTAGTGCTTTCTCGGTGTCGTCACCGCCTAACACTTTAATGTCTTGTGAAGACGCGAGGTTATTATTCAACACATTTTTGTTGTTTGATATCCAACCGCATAAAACAAAAATGGCTTTTTTATGAATGTAATCTACTTGTGTTGTTATTAACTTGGCTTCCTCTTCGCTGGAAAAACTCTGAAGGTAATCGTCCATATAATGATTATTTATTATCGCTGACACGGCGGCAGGGTATTTATCAGTAAAGTCTCTTGCGTTTCGATCCTTTATATATAGTGCCGTACATGGGGATGACGTCGCGCCAAATATAACAGACGTCATGCGATATTCACCCGGCGGTCCACTTCGTTGATCGCCTCGCCATAAAAATCTCAACGCATCGCGATCTTCTTCTCTTATTTTTATCCTCATAAACATTTCTTTAATGTCGGCTGACACAGCTATTTTATTTTGCCGGAAGCGCATTAAAACACCGGGCAATGATTTTAATAAGTCGGGTCCCGATAACAGTAGGTCGTTTAGGCACAGACCCGCTGTCTTAGCTGCTGCATCGTGCACCAGTCGTGGCGGCTTATGTGGCTTGGCTGGATTGACCACTGGGAAATGAGGTAGGTACCAGGTTTTATTCGGCGTACATGTGTCGGGCGCCTTTTCAGCATAACCTGAATTAAATAAATTTTCGAGGCGTTGTAAGTATTGTGTCTTAAGGTTTTCGTTCTTATCTAGTTTTCGTTCTAGATTTTCTAGGCGTTTTAGGGCACCTAGGTAGTTGTTTGGTATTTTAGGTTCCTCTTGTTTCCACAATAGTCCGGTCTCGAAGCTGCCATTGGGTAATCGTCGACTCTTCTGTTCTAGGATGTCTAAGGCTCGCTGTTGCGGGTCGTCTCTAGGTAACTTAGGTTCTATACCTAGCGACTCTAGTTTAAAAAAGTTTCTCATAGCTTCTTCTATTGGTTCCGGATTTTCTTCAATTTTAATGTGACCACAAAATGTTTCAATGACTTTATTTACGGAGTACTGACACCCATGCAGTACCCAGCCGAGTTTTGTGTACGATGCTACCGGCTGATCACGCGCACCTGTCCGTGTTTCTGAGACTACTAATAAATGCCAGTTATCTTGACCTATTAAAATCATTGGTTTCGCGTGATCATAGACAAGAGTGCTACTTATGTCGTCTAAATGCCTACAATTATTTATGTCCTGGTCATGTACCGTTTGCGCCATAATTTCGAGCCTGGTCACGGTGCGCGCCTCTATCTTCTGTGGCTCACTATGGTGCTTACCGCGAATGTGAAGGCTCACTGTTCGGCTTTGCTCATGCTTTAATTCCGTGCCTATGCCTTGTATCCACATAGGGCTCGCCGGCCCATCTGCACCTAAGATATCTGCTACTGACGCGTCTAACAAGGTGACTGTACTCCCATCGTCTAACAAAGCATATGTGTCTACACTTGTATGTGGTCCGCTTAACGTGACAGGAACTATCTTTAAATATGCGCGGCGATTCCGAGGCGTAGTCGTTGATACATTTTCCCGCGCCGACGTGACGGTTTCGTGTGTGATAACAGCAGGCGTCGGCGACGCCGCCGGCGGCGTCGCGACCTTGTGTGACGCCTCAATTTTACGCTCTTTGTGCAACAGTTTGTGATGTTTCATGTTGCATTCCTTTACGTCACAAATAGGCGCTTTACACGTAAACCTTCTATGTCTGTTTCGTAGGCATCTAAAACACATGTTCGAGTTTTTAGCTATATCCCATCGAGTATCAATGTCTAGCTGTTTATATTTACTGCAGTCGGGTAATTTGTGGCCGTGTTGCTTGCATGCCGGGCATTGGTCATTCGGTGTTTCCTTATTTACGTTGAACGTGCGCTCGACTCTGCGCCGCTGTCGTACATCACTGGACTCGTCGTTCCCGCGTTCTGGCTGAGCATACGCGCCACACTTGTCTGCTTCTTCATTCATGAACATAGATAATAGCTTTAATACGGGTATATCTTCACTTTTCTTACTAGACGCGTAATCATAAAATTTGTTTTTTAATATCGGCGTCAACTTCTCAACGATACAACGCGACATTTCAGGGCTATGTAAATATTGATTTCTATTTAGTGCTTCTACCGTACCCACCGTGTTTGCAATACGGCTAGCAAAAATACAAATGTCTCTAGGGTTATCATTTAATTTAGGTAACGATTTTACATTTTCTAACTCGGTCATTATCAAGGCCTCGGGTCTACCGAAACGTCTTTCTAGTGCGTCTAGAATGACCTGGGGGTTAGATTGACTAAACAATAGACAACCTACAGCTTCCTTTGCGGCGCCTCTGAGGCTCATCCTAATCCTAGCAACATTTTCTACATATGAAAAATACGTGTGTGAGTCACAATACGCGGCCTTATAAGCTATCCACTCACCGGGTTTTCCGTCGAAGATCGGTAGCTGCTGGACGTACCTCGCTGGCTCTCTTGAGCTGCGCGCGACCTGCGCTAGGGCCGCGGCCAGTGTCCCTACGTCTATCACTTTATCACTACCGCGCAACACTTCACTCGCGAGATTGCCCTTTGATTTCGCACACACACTTTCTCCGTAGCCGTCGCCGTCTCGCAGCGGCCGAGCGCCCGTCGCGGCGCCGCCGGTGTCCGTCGCTGCGTCTCTGCCGTTCTTCCCGTCGCTGGCGTCGTGTGGTGGCGGCCGAGTCTTACCTCCGGGTGGCGGCGCCGGTCGCGCGAGCCACGTTCCAATCCTCACGGAGGCAAGATCGTCTTCCAAGTCTTCGTCTTCACTCGACTCAGCTTCGGTTCTAATGCGCTGCAGCTGTATTTCCTGCAGCTCTCTCTCTGCCTGCGCTTGCTTGACTTTCATTTCAGCCAGCCGTTCTCTGGCCTCCAGCTCTGCGAGGCGCTTCTTTTTCGAAGATGTGGAACGGTGTGACCTGGTTTCGACAGGCTTGAGCGTACCATGTGTTCGCGTGGTGTCGGTGTTGGTAGTCGTCGTAGAGCCGCTGCCTGTGCCTGACACGCCGACCGAGCTCGATTCTGGTGCCGAGCTGCTGGCACCCGGTCCGGCGGTCACTGAGGGCTCTTCTTGGGTCTGTTCTCTTCTTGAATCACCACTTTGGCTACGTGTTAACACCATCTTGCTAGTGATTATTCGGCTTCGAAGGACCAGATTGTGTGGCGAATGGACTGTATAAATATTATAAATTGAGACTCGATAGCTTGATTATGGATTTTTAATTAATTTACAAACTTTTACACAAAACATAAGAAATTTTAGAGTTTTTTATACGTAACAAGGTGGTGACACTTTTAAACCCAAAACTGTTTGACTGACTGACTATGCGCATCGCCATGGTCTGGCGTTTTATAGACGCTGACATGCGGGGGGCGTGGTTTGGCCAATGGCGATGCGTGGAGCGACCGAGCCGCGAGAACGTGTTTGTACTTGTCTGGGCTCGTGGCTCCGCGGCTCCGTTGCCCTACTACTAACGGGTTTATAGTCGTTTTAAACAGGTTTAAACCAAACAAAGACAGGTAAGTAACGGCGTGCGGCGCCGCTACGTCTGTGTTATGATTCCGTGGCGCGGTGGCGCGCCGCTCTGGCTACGTAATGATTCTGTCGTGCACATTAACAATAGTCATTATTTTGTCATACCATTTTAAAACTAAACTTTCATACAATTCTAATAAATAAAACATTCCACTCAAACTCAATTTGTGACCTTTGTTCATTGAAAACATCTATTTAACCAAGACCTCTTACCTGTTGCAATCTCTGCCAGGCCAGTAACTTCACAAGTCGTTCGTCCAACTTCTTCAGCTGGTTGTCCACGACATTGAGTAACTCCTCGACATCATCCTCCATCCTCAGTTCCAGCCGTTCAGTCCTGCTTCGCTTGCTGGGACTCTTGTCCTCAGAGTGGGACATCTTGCGTCTTTTCACTGATGCTGTCAGGTACTCGAAGTCAGAATCAGAAAGATCACTGTCTGAATCTGATCGGACTTCAGGCTCCTAAACAATTTAAACAACATTCATTAATCAATGAACAAAAACAAAAAAATAATACCTAGTTGTGGTAATATTTTAAGGGATCCTTATGTCTGTCTGTTTGTCTGTCCGAGGATAATCTCAGTGACCGTTAGCACTAGAAAGCTGAAATTTGGCACCAATATGTATATCAATCACGCCGACAAAGTGGTAAAAAATATTTTATAAGGGTACCCCCCACTACATGTAGTATTAAAAGTATAAAGATAAACTAAAAAGAAAAACGGACCCAACATCAAACCCTGTGAAACACATATTTTCATCTTAGAGTACCTGTATGTTAGAACTGTTTACATGAACATTTAGTTCGACAAAGAAGATTGCCATTCCTCTTAATATGATTTTAACAGACGGAGCGCAATGCGCCCAGTCCAATAATAATTTACTTTCAACAAAAGTGTCTCATGATCACCTTAAACGCTTTTGAGAGGTCACAAAAGACACCAACAGCTTCCTAAGTTTTGTCATACTTCTCATTTTCAAATTGTAAACAAAGATTTACCTTAGAAGTGGGCTCAGCACTGATAGCATGTAAATCATCCGCAGCGTCCTGAGGCGTGGCGGCCTGTAACTCAGTGCGTAGGGCGTCGCCCTCACAGCCACAGCGGCCCCCGCTGTACTGTGGGCACTGCATATTCAGGCAGATCTTGTGCTTCGGACCGTCCTCCTCCTCCTCGCTTGGGTCGTAATTACCGCTGTTCTTCAGGTTCTTTAGCACTATTGGAGTTGTGACAGAAAAATGGTAAAAATTTTGTGGCAAATACAAGGTGTGAATGCGACACTAAAAATAAAAATGCAGCCGGAAAATGTTGCATGTGTAGGAGAAAAAGATGCAAGTACATATATTTGAATAACATTATAGTATAAATCATACCCTTACTAAAGTTAACGGCTAAATTACAGAAAGTGCTTGTCTAGTGGACTCTTAGAGCTTGTTGTTAATTAAAAATCAAAACAACACCTATTCTAAGTAAACCACGTTTAAAATGAAGTAGTTCCAAGAAGGGCGAGCAAGTAAGGCAGTGTATGTACCGTTCCTGCAGCGCACGTACTCCCTGCGGCTGGGCAGCAGCGGCGGCGGGTGGTCGTAGTGCTGGCGGACCATGGCCGGCACCACCACGCGGCCCCGCGTCGCCACCGGCACCTTCATGCTGGGGGCCCACGGCACATACATTACACGATCTTTATGACCATTGTAAGTTCACTTTTGGGAAGCTACACTATATCTGGTGAGCATACATTCATCAAACTTATCTATACTAATATTATAAAGAGGTCAAATTTGTAAGTTTGTATGTAGGGGGTAATCTTTGGAACCACTGCTCGGATGCCCAAAATTCTTTCACTGATAGCTACAATGTTCCCAAATGCTATAGGCTATAAAACATCACGATACAATGAAATAGAGCTGAGCAGCGAGTGAAACCGCGCGGAAATAGCTAGTATTAAAGTTAAAATTATAATATATACTTAGTAAAATTCCCGTAATGTATACCCAATGTGTGAATAAATATTTTTTAATGTTTGTTTAACACCTACATGCCATTTGCATAAAATAAGTGTATAATAAAATGAATACTTGCCAACTCTAAATAAGAAGAAGTTGGTTAAAAATTACCAAGACATATTCTCTTTTAAGATCCAAACAAAATAAAAATAATATGTCAAAAAGCCAATAAGATCTACTGCTATTACCAAAGTCTATTAAAATACACCTTAATTCTTTATTTTAACTTTCCCATCCAACAATACATATAGATAGACTAAATTTTTATCTACATCATTCAGAAACTTGCCACTAGAGGCGCTGGGTACGTTTTAAAGCACTCACCGGAACGCAGGGCGGACTTTCCTCGCCCTTCGAATGAAGTCCACCTTCACAGCCTGCTGGTCTACTGGGCCGGAGAACTTCTCCCACAAGGCGACACGTTCCGTCGCTGATATTGAGTTTACTAGCTTCCAATCCTGAATTTTAAAAGGGAATCTTACTAATATGCATTATAAATGCGAAAGTTCCGATGTTTGGATGTTTGTTACTCATGGATCTGGATCTGGATGAAATTTAGCGCAGGATACACTCCGGAATAGGACATAGGCTACTTTTTATTAACATACCACGCGGGCGGAAGCTAGTCTTTTTTACCAATATAATTATATAACCTTTTTTTCTACTACCAAGCTGATTTTTTTTCAAACGATAAACATTTCTACGTTATATCTGATGGTAAGCAATCGACGCCGCCTATGGATACCCGCAACACCTAAGGAATTGCGTTGCCGGCCTTTTGGGGATTTAGATATTGGGGTCGGATGGAGGGAGAGAAAAGATTGGGCCTAAGGAAAACTGACACACGGTGAAACACAATGCTGTGGTTGTTTCGCACCTGTACAGACTGTTTGCCCGTACACTGAGATGTGTTTGTTTTGTGTAATATGTTGTCAACGAAGACGGAATGTACACAGAAATAAAATTACTGTTTTTGTATCCGTTCTCGAAGAGAGTATTTATTGTATTACATTAATTAATAAGTGCGGCTATAAATAGCATAATTTGTTAGTAGGTTGCGTCATGAAAGCTCCATATAGCGCATTCGGCAAAATGTTAGTACCTATAGCATAGTAAGTTAAAAAGTAAAACAATTAAAATCATATGGCGATGCTCGTACAGCACCGGTTTTCTGTGAAGCCATTCCAGTCGAGCCGGCCCATTCGTACTGAAGCATTGCTCTCCCACTTTTTAAATTAAATATTTGATCTCTCGTTCATGCGATATACACTACTGCTATATTATACTTTTCCATTTTAAAAAGTGTCAATTCTAACTAGGTATATCTAATTTCAGTTTATTAAATAATACATTTTAAAATATACTTACAATGTATTGTTCTACATGATTGGGACACATCCAGCGTCCGGTCGGCAGCGCAGTCAGTGGGGGGTCCAAGCAATCCTGTAACAAGTTAGTCAGGGTTTGATTACAAACATTTTAACATACTATATTCAAAAACTGCCAAGTAGCATCTCACTTGGGGCATAGACCATTTATTTTAATAAGTATACTGCTTTTTTTTGGGATATGTCGGCAAACAAGCAGACGGATTACCTGATAGTAAGCAATCGGCGCCGCCCATGGACACACGCAACACCAAAGGGGTTACGAGTACGTTTTGGTCTTTGAGGGATAAGGGTTGCAGATATTTAAGGATTGGGAAGGGATAGGGGAGGAGATGGATTGGGCCTTTGGTAACCTCACTCTCACGGCGAAACACAACGTTCTTCTTATTATTATGCATAGTGATTGCTATCTTTTTTATTTGGAATAGTAAGCAAACAAGCAGACAGGGTGCTAACCATGGACAGTAAACAGAAGCAATCAACCACACCAGAGGAATCAAAGCCGCGATGCTGAAGTCTTATAGTATACAACTAAAGAGTAGCATAGTATTGTATAGCTTTTTGGAAAAGACCTACTTTTCCAAAAAGCTGTATTACCTGATGAAAGAGCAACGGGCAGTAGTCACACTGCAGCAATGGAGCTTGCTTGCATGTGCCCTGGCAGACGAAGCAACTCTTGGCCGGCAGAGGCACGCACCCCCACGCGTCCACCGTCACCAGGGAACTGTTGCCATTCTTGCCCGGATCTGACAAACAATATGAACTCATTTCTTAAACAGACAGATTGATTATTGTATTCTAAATGCCATTATACAATTTTATTTCAACTTAATTGTAATAAAGTGACATTTTTTTTTTCTTTTTTTTACTTGCAATAAATTTAAATTTAAGTTTTTTAAATAATTTAATAAAAATTTAAACTTATTTAAATAATAGTTATTGTAACTTTTTAAAAATTTAATGAAACAAGTGACTCTAAACAAAAAGATATATTTTTGCCCAACCAACAAAATTAACATAGCTTTATTTCTTTAAAAAAAAGTTGCCCTACACTAGGGTTTTCTATTGTGTCATGGGTGCGTTTACAAACATACAATTACACATACTACATCATACCCAGACATGAAAACAATTTATGGATCATAAAAAGAGTTGTTACATGGGGGTATCAAACCTGATGACTAAACTGAATTAATGCAAAAACCAGAGGCAATATCAAGATTAATCTTGCAAATATTATTAACGCAAAAAGGGACACAGATACATAATAGTTGTTGAATGGGTTATTCAAACTAGTATCTATCTGTGTCTCTTTTTATGCTATTATGGGACACTTTTCATTCGGGTGCTGGCAGAAGTTAGCATCTCCTTTTTTTTTCTATATGAAAATGTTACCCCACCCTAGGATTTTTAGTGTTGTGGTTTACAAATATAAAAATCACATATTAATGTGATCCAACCCCTGACACATTGTTTTTGGATAACATAATATGTTGTTCTGTGTGAGAATCGCGCCCAAAATTCGTTTCGGCAGCCAGTTGCCAGCCACAGCATCAACTGTGTCGTGTAGTTGAGTCGAAATCGATTGCCAAGCATTGAGACAATTTCAATAAATCCAAAATAACAAATTACCTTTGTCAGTTCCCGGGAATATACAGGGTATCCTCATCTCCCGGGGTAGTTCAAACTGCTTCGGGTTCATTATCTTAGCAGCCTTCACTAGGATCTCCATAGGAGACAGTTCTTTCTCCGCTTCCTTCTTTATTTCTTCCTCTTCTTCCTTACTCTTCTTTGAATTGGAGCGGTTACGTAAGCTGGAAAGGTAGCAATAATTTAGAAAGGAAAGAAAAACAGAAAGAAAGAAAGCATATAGTTTGTTTGACAACAGCCAGGAATGGATTTAAATAAACCATATAAAAAACATCCCCTGAAAATTCAGGCTGTAATATAATAATCCTATCGAATATACAACATACATAGGCCTTACATTTGGCGCATCCGTAACCAAAGGTAATTTAAGATACCAATGCTTCAAAAATTTGATACAAATGTTTGGAAATATCAAGTTACCCAGATTTCTTCTCTGTATCAGACTTGTTGTCAGCAGGTGACTGAGCCCTACTGCTGCGAGAGCTTGCAGGCTTGTTATCATCAGCAGCCCTACACTCCTTGCATAGCCACAAACCCGCTGGTATATCATTCTCATCCAACGGCGGATCACTGGAAGATAAAGAAGAGAAACGTAAAGTATCCATATCCAATACTAAAAACCAATTTGGGCCAAAAGATACAGGCATGCAGCCCACTAATATTTTAATAATAATAAATTAATAAATTAATTTTTTACTCTTAATTGTTATAAATTATTTGGTCAAATTCGAGAGCAGCTGAACCTATCTGATGATATATATTAAATGTAAACACTAATTTCTATGGCCCGGCCTCACTCACTGCTCCCCTTCTATTGATTGTATCATGATGTTATAACACCTATGAACTTGTAGGATTAACGGACTATCCAGCATAAAAATTATTAATAGTTCAAACCAGTAGTACCAGAGAACAGTCTGTTGAAATCCAAACCAACTCTTCAGCTTTATAACATTATTATTGTTTAGATAGTATAGATTAATTTATAGATACATACTCCACACCACTTTTGAAAACTAAGGATCAACGTCAAAATGTGTATTAGTTTTTAGTTTTTGCAATAAACATTGCCCCACTTTAGGATTTTTGTTTGTTGTGTGTGCTTACAAACATACAATTTCACATACACATCACACCCAGACCCGAAACAAGAATTTGTAGATCACACAAAGTGTTGTTCCGTGCGGGAACCGAACCCGCGACACGTTGCACAGCAGCCAGTTGCTCCGCCACCGCGCCTACCGCCGCATATAGATCAAATAGAATCTATGAACGTTGAATATGATAATACTTTTATTTCATGTTATGACTACATGGTGGAGGACTTTAAATAAATTATCAACAGTTTGACAACACTTTTGACAAATTCAGCATACACATATTAATGACTTACTATTCTCGTGCGGTTTCACCCGCAGCCCGATCAAAAAACGGTCTAATAAATACAAAGATTTTTTTAATTTGAACCAGTACTTCCTGAGATTAATGCATTCAAACAAACAAACTCTTCAGCTTTATAATATTGGTATAGAATAGATGTTGCCACACACTTTTTTTACAAGTTGATGACGATGCACTTTCGTCAGGAAATTTTTGGAATTCTTGACTTGGATAATGTTTTATGTAAATATAAATAATAATAGTATTATTGTTCTATTCCATTCATACTATTTCAACAGTAAATATTGTTTGGTAGTTATTTACTACTATTAGGGAACAACATCCTCCTAAATATAATGTAGTTGCATTACTGTTGGTAGTTGCCAAGCTTCCATAGAAATTGGGCCATCATCCTTTTACACGTTTCTTTTTATTTTAATAATAAATTTTTATACCCTGTTCAGTCATTCTTCTACTGTAAACTATTTTTAATTTTAACTGGCCATTGTAATTCTCACTGTTTCTATTTTCTTATTTCTTCTTTTTGTTTTTTCTCTATTCTAACTTGTATATTATTGATTATATATATAATTGATTATTGACTTATTCAAAAATATATTTAGCTATCAATTCAGTTCAAGTGTGTATAGTTTGTTCATAGAATAGATTGCCTATTACCTAAACAATGAGTATCCAAATCACCAATTATCCAAATCGGAAATAAGCATAATTAAACTCACTGGGGTATATTTTGTTTGCTTTTAGAACTATTTAAATTTATAAATTATCTTTATAACAGTTTGATTTGTTGCATGTCTATATCTGTTTATCCATAATCTTTTTACTATTTAAAATTATCTATATGGGGCCTTTTTATATTGTTAAGTTTAATTTAATATACATGCATTCACCATGTTACTTACTAGCATCCAAGGTGGAAACTAGCGGGGCAACGGTCGCAACATATGAGGTCGCCGCCTTCCCCACACGCGTCGCAAGAATCATGATTGTGACCTTTACCAGGCCTCTTATAGTATGGATGTTGCGGCTTCTTCGGCTTCTGGGTGTTCAAGTCTTCATCAGGTGGCTTTATTAAGGCACGAATGAGCTAAAATACATCCCAAAACATTCATAAATATCCCTCTTTTCATGTAAGCTGCTTCGTAGAAATAAAGCTTGCTAAAATGGCGCCAGATACTAAAATCAAGTAGCCATACATTCAAACTACCTAAAAAGTTCTAAACAACAAACCGGCATAAGCCCGCCTGAGGTATCGAGGTCATAGCCAACGTTAGACATTGTTACACCTTACAGTATCTTCAATTGTTATTTTTATTTAGCAATTCAAACTAAAAATTAATTTGTAAATGAGTACACTGAAATTGATTGAATTCGTAGCACAAACACACAAGACGTAAAATCTAAGGGAGCATTTTTATAGAAAATATATTAATTGAAGACATTAATATTAAGACTTAAGAACAATTAAACAAAATAAAAGTTATTTATTTAAGAAATACGATATAAGAGAACACCGACGACCGTCTACAAATATGGCCGCACGATTATTTCCAGGTTTGTTGTATCGCAGTTTTCTAGCACGACATAAGTCAAAGAATAAAACAAACAGTATGAACATTCACTGTAGCTAAACAGAGATAGGATTCATTAGAATGACTGATTCAAGTCAAATTTCTAAGCAAATATAACTATGGAACGCGCTTTGGCGTGCGTTTTTCAGGGCTATGACGGATTTGACATATGTCAACATAGGCATAGAGAGGAGCTTTTTTGTGAAAATTCGGTAAATTAGAAACTTTTAAAAATAAAACACAAATCAAGTGATAAATATCAAAATGCAAAAAAACTTGTTTAAATATTGGAATGAATATTGCGGAGAACCGTATTTTACAATTGGCTATGCAAAGAATATCCGCACGCCTTTAGCGGCAAAATTTACTAACTGTCTAAGAATGGCACTGTTTGTTTATTTATTGAAATTATGTTAGATTATTCAGATGGATCACGATCCTAAACGGAAACATGTTGCTAATAAAAGCAGATATACGAAATATTGCTGCGTTCCTCAATGAAGTACTTACGAAGATACGGGAATAAGTTTTCATTTATTCCCAAAATACAAAATTATGAAGAAAAAATGGAAGACTACTTTAAGAATAAGCAAGCCAATTCCACCATCAACGAGAGTTTGTTCTCATAATTTTCAAGCATTAAACTTTCCAAACAGAAAGTATAATTATGTTTTAATTATTTTATTTTACATTTGTATTTCATAAGTTATTCATTTAGTTTACACTAAGGCGAGTTTCTCGACAGATACCTAACGAGATTATGGTTATTGTTCAGATTCTAAAAGGCACAAGTTGTTTCCTTATGTCGTACTGTGTCAGAATATTCCTCAAATAAGCTACGATAAAGAAGTACTATTAGAAAAAAGCACTCAAATAAAGTTTCTTCCTATGCGGGAATAGGATAGATCAGCTTTAAAGCAATTAACCCTCTTAGATTTACTCAGTAGTGATATGTAGGTATTTATTTACTTTTACGGGTATTCATTCAATAGAACTTTTAGAAACATCGACTATTAATAGCATAATATTGTCTTAGGGCTGATTTTTCAATGGTTAGATAAAAGTTACCTGTGGAATAATTACGATGATGTCGCGTCAGAATGTTTATATAAGACAGTAACAGCAACAGTTTTATTACTCAGATAACATTTATCTGACTATTGAAAAATCAGCCCTTAAACAGCAAAATGCCACTGATTTTTATTTTTTCCCTGACGGTAATTGTTACGAAAATTTTCGTGAAAAGTGCCGTTCTTAGACAGCTTCACAATTTTGATACTAGAGGCGCTAGTTAGATCTTTGCATCGCCAATACGGTTTTTTTAATACTACCGGATTATAAAAGACTAACGATTTAAAATAATGTTAATATTTTGAAAACCTTTAAAACCTTATAAAGGTGAATTATGACGGTTGCCAGAGATGTTTTAATGAAACGAAAAAGTTAGTGTTTAGTTTCAAATGGAATGACGGCTGCCGTGATTTTTATCAGTAGTGTAGCGGGAAGTCCCTGTTCTTTGAACCTTTGAAATAACTACTACAAATAACCGTTCAGTCATTGGACATTATATTTTTGATAATAGCAGTGATTTGACAAACATAACTATATATAATATCATAATAGTTAAAATTGGCGTTATTTGGTCTGCAGAAAAAGGATAACCAAAATTTAAATAAAGCAAAATCCTCTACGAGAACAGGTGAAATGGGAAATAAATTTGTTTCTGCTTTCAGTTCAATCAATACTATTTACGAAGAGAGATAATTTATTATTTTCAGAAGAATAATTATTTGTTGGTTGTTGCACATCACTATCGATAAACCCTAATAATTTGACGTTTGACAAGTGCTGTCAGAAACCTACTAATTTAGTACAAAGGTAGAAATTAATCGAAAGTCGAAAATATTACTAATATTGGAAATGATACAATATATGGGAATTTAAAAACAATATATTCAGAACAGAAGAACTGAACATACAAAATATATTTGATTTACCCCGAATCACACTAGAGTTGCTTCTCCGAATAGAAGAAAAATTAATTTATACCATCGAAAAAAATACAAAAGTAATGTTATCAAAGATTCTGTTTTCCCGAAGTAAGATTTTGATTTTATAATTGCATTGTTAAGTTCTTAATTTGGTACATTTGTAGTAAAATGAGCCCTTCAGATGGCAAGAATCATCTAACGGAAGTTGCCATTTCTATGACGTCATGGGCGGAGTTTAGTTGAAGATCGAATTCGGATTCGGTTGGCGGGCGCGGCCATCTTGGTGAATTAGTGACCTGGCGATTCGGTTTTAGTTAGTGAAAAATCATTTGTCATCCACAATGTCGGAAAGGGAAGATAATGTGTATAAAGCTAAGTTAGCTGAGCAGGCTGAGCGCTATGATGGTAAGTACATATTTTTGTTATATCTTCTGTAATTGGATGAAAAATCTATCGTATTTTCGCCGACAGTTGAAAGACGATTTGGTGATAGTTGAGAAAATTTCTAGATCAGAGTACCTCATAAGTCTTCGTATTGTAGATTTATGCAAGGAAAAGAACGTAATACATTCAATTATGTTACTATATCGGCGTACTAACAAATCAATGGCATTCGTTAGGCTTGGTCAGCGATCGATGCGTCATCCGCCGGTGGGATGTCCTTAGGATTTTTTACGCTGATAAAACCATGAGAAACTGTGCAAGCACTGCTTAATCCACACATTTTTTACAATTTTCCTTTTTCATTGTCTAAAAGCGATGACCTGAAGTGTTTCAATCGATACTTAAAGATATTGAAGGGAAAAAAGTGGTTTCCCTATTTTTTTCGACCAGGGGAAGTAAAATGCGATCGATGTCATTGGATTCGGTCATGCATGTCGTAGTTTAGGCAAATGAGTTGATTAGACCTATTGGAACTTTCTGGGTTTGTTAGGCGGCGTAAATTCATGTCGCCTTCGATTTCACCTATTGTTCACGATTTAGTTGCACGGGAATCTTACCTGCGAGTTCTACGCTATCGCGTTCATCTTTTTTGAATGATACGGTCACCAGAATAGGCATTACTCGCTGATTCATTTTAGACCTTCGTGATATTGCACACCTATAGCCAATATCACCTAAGTGATGCAGTTCAATGACCTTTATAAGAATTATCATTAAAATTACCAATTGCTATCTTATCATGGTAGCTACTGGACTCAGGAAGACTATTTGTCCTAGTTCAATCACATTCTTAAGGTTTATTTAATTTACTTGATAAAAGCAACTAATAAATCAATGCATATCATTAATTTAATATAGATAAAGTATTATATAAATCTGCACATACACTTTTAGTTTACTATAAAGCATAGTTAAATAGATAATAATCTGCAATAAACAATGTGCCTATTCCGGAGACTTCCATTGCTCAGTTATCAAATTTTGTGTCATAAAAAGGTAAAATTATGATGTAGAATATATTGAAAGGTTAACAGACCACACCCTACTCTCAGGTGGACAATAAGTCTCCCAAAAATATCTCTTAATGCAGTAAGTAGATAAATCAATAAGCCATCAGGCTAACAATTGACTCATTTTAATACTGACCATGAATAATTGGGTTATTTAAATTCTGTAATAGTAGTAATAAGCAAGCAGACCACTTGTCATGGGGTTACTCATGCAATGCAGTCATGAAAAACTAATATTGAGGAGTATCTTTCATGTTCATACACAAGTTATAAGTGACTGCATATCATTACTAATCTCAAAAATAGCTAAAAAATATAAATAAAAGGAATGGTTGTTCAACTTATGCTACTTCATTAACAATTGTAATGTTAATGTTTATAGTGAACTGTTATAATAATGAGTGGCTCTCATTCTCAGCACATTTTCTTAATGTTGTTCACCAGTCTAGGTTTTAATTACCACTTTCTACTATGTAACTCATATTTCAATGAAACTTGAAATAATGTGATTTTAAATGATATCTAAATCATTCTGTTGTATTGTATGCTGCAGATTACATAGAGACCTATTTACTTTTTCTTCTAAGAAATATTTGGTTTATAAAAAAATATTAATATTACAGAAATGAAATTTATCTGTATTTTCGAAGCTGGTTTTTTCATTACACATATTGATAAAATGCAGGGTTTGTGTGCTTAATTGAGTCTTACTTACCCTTGGCTGTTGTGTGGTTTTAGATGTACCTCACAGATTTGTATAATAAAATAACAAATGTTTGCTCTTAATCAATGTAAATTGTTTTATCAAATTTCCTGTCTGATTCGACGTAATCCGGAAAGTCGCATAATAGCTCAGTATGAATTAACCCGCTGCAGATAGATATACGAGAGCTTATGCAAGTCGCAGTGAATGCGGCCAGGTCACCTCTTTTTATCGGAAACTCCATCTACAAAAATGGTCAGGTTCCGTGGCGTGTTCCATTTACCCAATGTCAACAATTTTAGCGCACGCATACTAATTGGAATTTTTGCAGAGGACGCTATTGCGTGAATAGCTAGAATGTTGTTACGAATTAAAAGGATATTGTTCTAAATAGGGTACATGGAAGGGGCGCAGCTGGCGTGGCCAGATTCTTAAGATGGCGTCTACTCGACCGCAACATCCCTAAATAATTTCATAACTAGGCAGATCCCGTTTTGGTTTACGATCACTCAGAGCCGCCTGAATAATACAGCAGTACCTACTCGCAAGGCTTTTTTGTTCGAATATGCACTTCTAATGTTCACGTTTTATAATCTAGATATTCTAACAGTGAAATAAGAATAATCCTTAAATCGGACATAGAATTGATACATAGAGATTATGTATCAGCTGTGGGTCCGACTTAAGGATAACCGCATGGCCGCGAGGGGTCGATTTAACACCTGTTACATACAAAATCTACCGCGGTCACTAAAAATCGATTACCATTAGCTCTGCAACATGTCAACTATCGCTGAAGTAATAAAACCTGTTTCTGGCATGCTTTGTCTGTCTTGAATGTAAGTTGAGCCGTACGCGTATATTTCCGGGATTACATCTGCACTTTTCGTTCTTATGCGCCAGGAATATTGCAGGACTATCGTTAATGTCAAAATTAAAGCACATGTCTGAAACATTACTTGGCTCGCTACTCCGTCTGTGCGACGCCCATTCCCCTCCCCTCTACTTAGCGGAGAAGTTCCCATCGATAAAAGAATAATTTTATCTAAGTCGTCCGACATTCCGAGATAGCTGAGAACTTCGTAAAGAATCGACATTTAAAGTATTTAGTCTCCGTCGAATGCCATTCTACATAATTGTTTCGCATGGGCTCAACAGTTGAAACTTGTAAATGAAGCGTACTTACGCTAATACTTTATCGATTTCGCCATGACTAACCTTTCGTCGCAGGTATTTTCACGGTGGTTACTGTAGGGATACTAGTTCAAATCTTATAACAGATTTGTATGTGCTGCTTTGTATAATATTCATATTTTTTAAGTCAATGGTTAGTTGTAATAATAAATATATCACTTACGCAGGTAACAAAGTTGCAGAGATTTCAACAATCCAAATATAATCGTTATTTATTTCTCTAAAATGTTAATAGCTTTCTGCTAGATATTCCTCGCATGATTTTCGTTGAGTATTCTATGTTTAGAGTGGAAAAAACAGCTGACCAATGTGGCATTTGATTAAATGCTAACACCCACAGGATCAATTCTAGGACTGACAAAGATTGTCCTATATTTCAGAAATGGTGGAGGCGATGAAAAACGTAGCTTCGCGCAACGTATCCGACAATGAACTTACAGTGGAGGAGAGGAACCTGCTCTCCGTCGCTTACAAAAACGTAATAGGTGCCCGCCGTGCCTCATGGCGGATCATATCCTCCATTGAACAGAAGGAGGAGACCAAGGTAAGCTGTCTAACTGTTATTTGACCATTACTTATGAACAAAAACTAGAAAAACAGAATTTTGCCTATTACGCCACAACTACTCTACTAAGTTTGTCTGCCATTTTTCAATCTCCACTAAATGCTATGAACAAAGGTTTTACAAAACGAAGTATGAATGTATTTACAACGTGGCCGTCCCTTTATAATGTCTGGAGTGTATCGATTGGTGTGAGTGACGCGCGTGTATTGCTTATAGTCTGTGGTCGAGACTCGGGATATGACGCGGGTTAGTATTTCCATTAAATAGGGAACTGTTGTTATGGCAATTTGATTTAAATTGTTTTAAATATTGTAGTGTAGAAAAATATTGTAATTTGTAAATGCATGCAATTCCAAGACACAAAATAACTTTTGCCTACTTATTCATTACGTAAAAATCTCTTACTTTACTGCAAAAATCGTAAATATGTAAAAGTGAGTTAGAAGTGCTCACAGCTCCAGTAAAAGTACTCGGTAACTAAATCAATACGAACCCTGTGAGCTTTCATTACGTGTTAGTGGATTCTCGTTCACGCAAAGGCCTCGGGTGATTGATGACATTATTGCATCAAGGAGAGCTTTTATGTCCAGGACTTATTGATATTATACTTTCAAGGTATGGAATTTTCTAAAGAATGCAATCGATAATAAGGACAAATACTGCAATGGCGGGTTCGATGACATAGTTTACTATTTTTGATTATGTCATTAACATCTATTGTCTGCCGACATACTTACGGGTAGGTATAGCCTAGGCAGCGCCCAGCGGGCTACCCGTCGACCCCGTTTAGTTAACGTAGGAGGCACTGTGTAATAACTGGGCGTTGCGCTAGGGGTAAGACACACGTGTTTAAATGCCATCATTCATATTTTTGTTCCTTTTAATGTTAAATTTATGGTGTAAATAGTATTTTGATCACCAGAGGCAACATGGCCTATTTCAATGCGTGTAGGCTCTTAAATTATGTTGAATTGCGTCAAACTAAATGTGTGACGTAGCACTCTGTACTGTGCCAGCTATACATATAGAAATAGCAGATCGTAAAATTAATTTAAAGTCTCGCGCTGGGTTTCTCTGTCATGGTCAACTTTATGGCCACTTTGGACTGTTACACATTTTTTACCATCGAAACAGTAAAGATGTGTGTAAAGTGTGATAATATGAAGGGCCTAGTTACATAAAACTTCTTTTATTGTTTTTAAAGTGATTGACTGAATGAATGCTAAATTAGCATTATCGCATTGTTCGTAAATTGGAAGTCTTCTTGAGTAAGTTCAGAGACGAAACTAAGATGACATGTATATGATATGACTCATACAAATAGAGGTTCAACGACCAATGGTAACTTTCATAGTAACCTTGTTGGAATTCGACCAAATTGTCCAGCTCTACCGAGATAAAATGATAACAGGGCTGTCAGACGTTCCCATTGTGCGCAAAAATCTTGGCCCCGACAACACGTTCCAATTTTTTATGCCGTCGTCACGTATTGATTTCAAAACCCGACTCAAGGCAACGGCCAACGACTAATAGTTAGCAAAAAGGTCACCGCCATGACGTGTATCTAGGGAAAACAGCGGCGTAGTCAACCCTATACGAATGAGTCATTTTCCTCATTACAACGTATTTCGGCGTCATCTCAATTCCGTTTTTGTGTTACTGTCGGATACGAAAACAAGTAAAACGTGTTTATAGCATTCCCAATGAAAACCTGAAACAAATTGAAGTTAAAATATTGTTTCATACAGAAATCTTATGTAAACTCAAGCCTAGTCTAATTAATTTGTATATCATATAGTGTGGGAGAGCCATGCTTTGGCACGAATGGGTCGGCTAAACTTGAGTGATAACACGGTTTCCAGAAGCAGGCGTGAATTAACACTTACGTTGTGTTTCGCAGTGTGAGTAAGGTTATCGTAGGCCCAATCCTCAGTCGTTAAATCCCTAAAAACCCATAAGCGGCGTCCATGGTCGGCGCCGATTGCTAACATGAGGTAATCCGTCTGCCAGTTAGCCAACTTAGGTCTAAGTAATAAAAAATCGCAAAACATTTTTAATACTAGCAATGTTAGACAACTGTTGATTACCATGATTTAATAAACAACACGCTCACTCAAACAGCAATGACCTTAAAGTTAATTGTTACAGCTTACAATAAATTTGACATTTTACTTTGCCAATATTAACGTGAAAACGTACCACAGGTTTGCAGTCATCATTATTTTTTTACAGTCATTTTTAGTTTAATCTAGAAGTAAAGGTCGTGCTTTTATTGATCGAGCCTTAAAACGTTGTGGGAATCTTAATTGAGTACTGTTTGTGCCAAGCTTAATAGATCATTATACTTTTTATTAGACTCGAGCTTGATTTAAAAAACACGTTCTCTCGCTGCAGTTTTCTGAAATTAAGTTTTTATAATGAGAAATCTCCATTGGCAAAAAGACAGCGAAATCTAGGTACATTGTCTTTTTTGTGACACCAACAAAAACTGGTTGCATTCCGCAAGCGAACTAGAACATCACCATAGTTTTTCCTACAAGTTATACAAAAGCGCGTTTAGTCGGTGAAAAACACGTGATTTTATATGGATAAGCGGATGACGAGCATCAATTACAATTATTATCCTAGTCCAGATAGATATATGTAAAACTAGGTCTGTAACTATGAATTTTGTAACTGTGCAGTTTGCAGTGTATAGTAAAACGTCATTTTGTATTCATGTTATATCTACAATAATAAAGTTTCCGTAATTGTATATTGACACGAAATCACGTAACCTGCATACAAGTTGCCACTTAGTGGCATACGTTTGAAAGTCAACGTCGTATTAAATCGATGGTGGTGCCCAAGTTACATAATTCTATTAAACTAATATCTTACTCCACAATTACTTTTCTAAATGAAATAATAACGTTCATTTAGCTGAGTGCTAGCTAGTTTTATGAGTTTTAGAAATTTCCTCGATACCGTAACATTCGAACCAGTATGTTGCATAAGTGTAAAGTTTTATACTTAGGCGAACACCTTAAATATATTATTTCATCTTAATAAATGAGCCTGAAAAATGTGTTCGAACAATTTAATAATGCTCCGTGCACTGCTGCGATCTTTATAAAAAAGCTTTAATCCTGAGAAACGTGGTACAAACCGCCAAGCTTTGTTAGAATTAATTATTGGCAGTAAATACTTCGTATAAATATTTAATAGAACTGTTTAGATTTTATACTTTAGTAACTATAGACAGATTTACCGTATCATTTCGGCGACTAAGCGCTGCTTTCAGTAACGGTATAGGATTCCGTTTGCAAGTGAAATTGGATCATTCGTCAAGGTTTTATTTTTGGTTTTTGTAAAGCTTACAAAAGCATTTGCAGCAGTGAGTGGTTTTCCTAAATAGTTTCTTGTCCGCGTTACCTGTGGGTGTAGGTTGAGTAAACTCATATAAAAGGATGTATTGTGTAATGGGCGAGGCATGACACATATTTAACCAAAGATTATTGTTTATTTTTTTCTTAATGGTATTGAAAGTATATAGCATTTATTTTACATCCACATGTAAATACATGTGGCTAAGGGCCAATCCTTCCCCTCCCACCATCCCGCCCCGATAAAAAAAGGAGCCGTCATAAAAAGAAGGAGGTTCTTTATGTGATAGTTCGGCACGAGCAAGCGGTTTACCTGATGGTAAGCAATGAGAGTCGCCCATGGATTGCAACGACGGCGAAGTAACAAGTGCGTTGCCGACCTTTTAGTGATTAGGGACTTGGAGATTTTGGGAATAGGGATATTGGGGTAGGGCAAGGATTGGGCCTCCGATAACCTCACTCACACGACGAAACACAAAGCTGTGGTTATTTCACTCCATTTTTCTGTCAGGCCGTGGTATCACTCCGGTCAAGCCGACCTATTCGTGCCGAAGCATGGCACGAAGTGTGGGAAACACACGTGATTAAATTATATTTTACATTAAAATGCTGTCTTAATCTTACTGATTGTTTACTATTTTTGTCTGTTATATTTTACTGTATCTGATGGTAAGTTAAGTCCGTCGGATATGCGAAAAGAAATGAACAACAAATTGTCAATACGTATCACTGTTTCATAAAATGAAATCACTCGTAACTAATAACAGCTAATGTGTTTTAAATAATTCATAAACTTATCGCCACACTCTCATTAAGAACTCGTTTATGAAAAACAAAATGTATGTAGACTTCCATCATCTTCCAGTTAAAGCGGATTTTATTGAAATCACGTTCACTCGACGTGTTAGATTAGAAATGCATTCTGCATACGAAATGAATATAGTAGACATTAAATCAAACGCGAAATTCAATGCATTCTATGAATACGACACTCGACCATTCACACTAATCAAATAACAAAAGACTTGCGCTCGCAGCTACGTAGTTCTCGAGTATTTTAAATCCACACAGCAAGTTGTGGTCCCAACCCAACTGTACGGCACGCTAATACTCGTATAGTCGGGAATAAAACAATGTTGTTGTCCTGTTAATTGTGGTTCAAATTCAAGCGGCTGGCAGAAGCTAATAGTAATATGAGATGGACATACAGGATTTCAGACCACGCTGCTCATAAATTATCTGTACTACTGTTATACCTTAAATTTAAACTCTCGATGTGGTTTTGAGTCCGGTGTTTGTTGTTTCAGGGAGCAGAAGGCAAGTTGAACATGATCAGGGCGTACCGCAGTCAGGTGGAGAAGGAACTCCGTGACATCTGCTCAGACATTCTCGGTGTCCTGGACAAGCACCTCATACCCAGCTCACAGACCGGAGAGTCCAAAGTCTTCTATTACAAAATGAAGGTAAATAATCAACCATTAATAAAACTTTTACTTTGTGTTATAGTAATTCAAAATACATCATTATAGTTCAATAATGATTTAAATTAGCAACAGACAGCAAAAGGATAACTGATAATTTAATTTTATTGTGATGAAATAGCATGTCTATAGCAAATCACATTGTTTATTTCTGAAGTTAAGCTAAAATTGAACTGATAGTATATCATCTTCATAACATTACATCTATCCTTATTTGTGTCCCGGTTTGGATGACGTAATGCGACGATAAATTTTCCTGAAACTTCAACTATCGCTGTAAACTTATAGGAGCCGAGTGATGACGCAATTGAAAATTTGGAAAGAATTTTTGATGTCACAACCACGTTTTCTAAGTAGATGAATTGTTTTGAAAATATATTAATTTAATGTTCTTTTTTCTCTTTTGACACGTGTGTGTTGTCTGCTCCAGGGTGATTACCACCGATACCTGGCGGAGTTCGCGACCGGCAACGACCGCAAGGAGGCGGCCGAGAACTCGCTGGTCGCGTACAAGGCCGCCTCCGATATCGCCATGACGGAACTGCCCCCCACCCACCCCATACGTCTCGGCCTCGCGCTTAACTTCTCAGTAAGTATCAGAATATTTGTATTAGATAAGATACAATGCGTCGTCATTGCCCGAGCTGCTTAGTGACAACGGGCTCAGGCGGGAAGCAATTATACTCTATTTACTACTCTAAAGTTTAATCTGTCGTTTGATTGAGAATTAGCAAGAAACTTTATCCGAAACTATAGGAAGAATTAAACGACTATCTGGAATTTCTTGGCACTTACCGACAGAAGATAAAATGAAATGAAACATATATGTATAAATACTCATCTCATACTAAATTTTTGCAGACGACGTCTTTTCAGTAGTTTATATTTTAGTAGAAAATTTATTGTAAGAAAAAATAATAGGTATGCATTGAAAAAGTATCTTCCAACTTTAAGTACATGCATACCTGTTTTTGATTGATAAGAAAGTTCTCGAAAACACAGCAGTAAGATATTTTTGTCATTCGATATTTGGTCGTCAAGCTTAATGCTAAAAAAGTGAACCAGTTACTAAAATGTGATCCTGACCAAGTACAATACAAAGTAAGGCGCATGTAAGGACTTACGATGCATAACTCTCAGGTGACGCGCACTATTCGTGTGCATAAACATATTTACTGAGTTAATCATAGCGACACGTCAGCGCGTGTGATGTCACGCTGTGTAGTGGCATAACAACTATTCTGCGGTAAAATGTTCAATTACAGAGAAATATTATTAATTTGTCTTAAAAGTTCGTCTGCGAATAAAAGTATAATAACTTTCATAACTAATAAATAGGTAGGAGCCTAGCCTATTATATAGTAGATGTTAAAATACCGCCCAAATGTGGTTGTACCAGATGACAATACTTCCTGCCTGTATAGTTAAGCACGATTTTTTTATTATAATGTTTCATTGCATAACCGTCTGGAACCTTGAAGCGAACGGCGGCGATGCCTTATTTTTTGTACAGGGAGGGTAGACCTAAAAAAGTTATGTCATTTGATTAGCTTAGAATATAACTTACTAGCTACTCCCGCGCTGTTTCACTCGCTGCTTGGCTCCATTTGTTGTTATCGTGATGTTTTATAGCCTATAGCAATTGGGAACATTTTAGCTATCTATAAGTGAAAGAATTTTGGGAATCCGACCAGTGGTTCCAAAGATTACCCCCTACATACAAACTTACAAATTTTACCTCTTAGTATAGATTCATATTAGTATAGATTTCATCTGTTTCTAGAAAATTTTCATTAGTCATAAATAGGTGGAACGCAATTCGTCTCGTAAATCTTCCGCTATTATTATTTGACTTTCAAACATACCCTTTGCATGAATTATAGTTGCTCGTAAAGCTATAATAAAAACCCAACGACCCAGACTTTATGTTGGTATTACAGCACTGTCTACTGATTTGGAACAGTTACACACACAGATGCCTATTATATCGGTTTGGAAGTCTGGCGTATCTTTGTACAGCGGACTAATTATGTAATATGCCAACTTATCCCTAAACACCACTAAGTAATATGTGAACATAAAAGATTAAGTATGGGTATGTAATAGTAAGAAATATGGAATATCAATCTAGAGTGCAGGGTATGCGGAGTCTTATCATCTGTTTTATGGTCTGTAATTTATTCTCCGTAACGTCGGAACTGCCGATCTTAATTTATGCGGAAGAGAGATATTTGACAGTTGTTAACGACTGATTGTTTGCGATACATTCAGCGTAATGTACACTCGTGCAGGATTATACAGCTACAGTGTCAGCGTTTTTGCAGCTCGATATCTGGCCGAGCTCGAGTTTAACGCGCACGCGCCAATTTGTGCAGACGTCTAGCCTTGCTAAATAGCCACTCCGTAACAATCTTTATCAATCATTTGGCCGCCCTATGCGTACAAGTTTCCGCCAACTCCCTTTCAAGGTTTAGTTGAATGCGAGGATAATGTAATAGCTGGTATAATTTTGTATGGTAATGTAATGCGCGATTTAATGAGCCACTGAACAAATTGATGACCTTCATAATAGATTAATTTATTACTTATGTATTATACTCGATACTCTATTTTCTCCGAAGCGTGCGAACTATACGTTGTAGGGTGAAGTCAATTTAATGAAATGTCAGAAATACAATAAGTTTTCTAAACATTAAACCCTAATTTCTAATGTAGCGTAAAAATGTTACTAATCATGCTCCAGTGCCTCGTCATCTCGAAAGATACCTAATTCTATTAATATTCGTAGCTTATTTAAAATTAACGAATTTTCGAATGAAGTGAAAATGTTGAGAGTAGTTTAAACGGCGTCACTGGTGATATCAATAATCCGTTGGTTGGCGCGTCATGCGATAACTTATCTCATATTAATCTTGGCAACTGCTCGAGTTCAAGGTCGACAGACATTCCTAATTTTTATGAATAAGAAATTAGTTTTTTTATTACCAACCAGTCTGCGATTTAGCTGTTACGCGCAATTATGTTATTTATATCATAAGATTTCTTAATTTACCGAGTATCTTTTTCTATGAATTTCGTATTAACCGTCAAATAACAAAAACCTGTTTTTGTTAATTAATATTCTACTCTTTGTGTTACCGGCGCCTGAAAATAATGGCGATGATGTGCGTTACCCATGTATAATCATTTACTACAATACTAATGTGATTGTTGTTTTGTGCAGGTATTCTATTACGAAATTCTGAACAGTCCGGACCGCGCGTGTCGGCTCGCGAAAGCCGCCTTCGACGACGCGATCGCCGAACTGGACACGCTGTCCGAGGAAAGCTACAAGGACTCTACGCTTATCATGCAGCTCCTGCGAGACAACCTCACGCTCTGGACCTCCGACATGCAGGGCGACGGAGAGTCCGGTCAGTAGCAAGTCAGCACCGCATGCTTACCTAACCCGTTCCATATCCTCTTCTCCAACACTCCACCACACAAATTTCCTATTCATTTCTAACTAACTTGCCTATCCTATTTATTGCTTTGATCCACAAAAAATAAATTATTAAATTAGTTTTAAGTAACTTATTTTACCTCTAATAGTTATCTTGACAGGTCTTTTTCGTGGAATACTGTTGGCTTTAGATCCAAATTGCAATCTTATCATATTTAGAATAATATTATTGCTATACCTGATTAACATCTACCTATGCATGATAGCATTCATGAGATCTCAGATAAAATTATGTGGCACATGTATAAGGAATATGTGAAGCATTATTTCTTCTATTTATTTACAAGGATGCCTTACGACCATTAAAGGAGTTGCTAGTACCCATAACATGACATGAAGTTTGTCCATGTAATGTAAGAACATAATTATAAACTTGCTTGTTTGTTTTTCAGGTGAAACGGAACAAAAGGAACAGCCGCAAGACGTGGAGGATCAGGACGTGTCGTAATACTTTTTAACATTCTATTTAAATATAATAAAAAAAATAACTATAGTATCACGTAAGACCCAGCCCCCAATGACAACCGGTTGTATGGTACTCCTCCACACACCTCGCCCCCCGACGTAAATTGTCAGTTCCAGCCCAGTTGTACACAACACGCATATTGTATACATGATAACGTTTCGTTTATGTATCGTGTCAAATTATCTACGAGTTATATACATTAATGTGTACTTCTTTTGATATATTTGTTTTCAATTACGAAAAAAAATAATGTTTAAGAAAACGTACTTTGGTATTGCATTTTAACTGTATGTGTATTTTCATAACTGTAACCACTCGATGGATCTCTCGCCGTCGCCTAGCGCGCTGCGCTGCGTCCAGCTAGTGCACTCATTTCCGACTTCCGTGCGGCTACTTCTTAACGTGGGAATTGTAAATTTTCTAAGTATTTTATACCGTGTGTAAAATTAATGTATTTAAAAACTCTGTTGATACTTGAAACAAGCACCGTAGCGTCGAGGATGTTTAATGACATATACAAACAAATATAACGATATAATAGTTGGATACATTAGCGAGTTGCGTATCGTCACGTATGTCGATATAGTGTTTACTTTGTAATCGCATCTCCGTGTTGATTCGGTCTGCACAAATAGTAGTTTTATACAATGGACGTTTAATCTCGTGGCTAGGTTGTTGTTTTGAGACTGTTGCTAGTTTGTATTAGTCGGTTCCGGAGCGGGGAGGCCCCGGCGCGGCCGCAGCCGGACGGTCTCTGCGAGCGAGTCTTCCGCGCCCTCGCTGCATTTGTATACATTGAATCATTTATTGATATATTTTAAAGGATAAACGTAACATTATTAGGGTGGTAATGATGTAGTAACTTGCAATATTTAGCTAAGTGATAGCGGCGTCACCCTGTTGGTCTTTGTGTATCTATCTCGTATGTATCGTACATGTATGTATTTATTGCAAAGGATAAGTTGGTGTACCTTGTGACTACTGTGTAGTACCCGCGCTCGCGAGTCGTCACTGCGCTCCGGCCCGTGGCCCGTGGCTGAGCTTAAATAGATTAAAGACATGTCGATGTACCCGCGCTTCGTTCGTTCGTATTACAACATTTGGAGTATTCACATTTGAATTGCTTTAATTACTTACGAGTATTGTGATAGAGATTTTGTATATTTTAATTTATTTTTTTTAATTTCGCAAGTTCTCGAAAATTGCTGTAGCGCTACATCTCTTACGATTTTACAGGACAAACAGTAGTTCTAAAAGTTGTGCTAGGTTAAGGTAATGCACTTGGGGAAATTATTTATTTGATGCGCGTCGCGGACGGCCGCGGCCGCGACAGTAATGCCTACTCGAAGACATTCCATCTTCACGATACCTGTTAACTCAATATCTGGCCGATGTTCGCTGAACTCCAAATTGTAGTGTGGCATAGCGGCGTGGAGCAAGTGCGTGCCCGAGTAAGATATTAGCGTTATTTTTATTTGAATTTGTAATATTGCATATATTTTGTTAATTTATCCACAAAAATACTAATGCAATTAGCCTTAGTGTTATGCAATATTGATTTATGTCCTACCAACTACATGGAAATTTATTGTAAATGACAGTGTAAATCTAATAATAAAAATTCAAAAGTCCATATCTTTGTTTTATTGTTTTTTTTTTTGTTTTTGTTTGTACCCTGAACTAAGTTTTCTTGTCTAAGAGTAACAAAAGGATCATATTATTTTATCACGGAAGTCGTGACTCAAGTGAGAAAAACTTTACTTGTCACAACGGGACTTATTCAAGAGATACCTACCTAGGTTATTCTTATGGATTTACATCTTACCGCACAGTTGGCGCGGTGGCTGGGCAACTGGCTGCCGTACGACGTGTCGCGGGTTTGATTCCCGCACGGAACAACAATTTGTGGATCACACAAGTTCGGTCAGTTTCGGGTCTGGGTGCCATGTGTATGTTTGTAAACGCACCCATGGAGGGAATCCTAGTGATGGGCAAAGTTTAAAAAAAATACATAATATCTGATATACGGGACGCTTTACTTTTAAATGAAGAAGAGCCCTGTTGTGACGTGAAACTAGTAGAGCTTTTTTCAATATTGATTTACGTAAGTCGTTATTTTCGATATATTTAGTAAGTATATCCCACGATATTTACTACCTACCTATTCATAAAAAGTGTTTAGCCGACTCGTCCCATTAGATGAGAGCAGTACTTCATACAGGATCAAACTTGCGCCCGGTGTAAGTTAAGCAGTTGTTCCGGTGTGAAGTAGGTATTGCCTGAACCTCGACATGATGCTCAACTTTCTACCCGTTAATATTGTGCCTTTTGCTCTATGCAGATGCCAAAATTAGGGTTGGGCGTTACAGTTGCGCCAAGAAGCTCAAATTGGTCACCGGAGCGGATACATTGGGGAAAGTAGAACCTGAAGCGCTTTCAAGGATGAGTTCAAGCGTTCAACCATAGATTCTCTTAGCGGTCGAATCTGTGTTCCGCTATTCCGCGCATTACATACCTTTCAACAACTGTGGTGTCATCTGCATACCCAAAGATACCGGGCCTCAGCAGATAATTAATGTGCATCAACAAAAGCTACGAAATGAGATCCCTGAGAATCTCCGGCGTTGATACTGAATTGGTCAGACGAGCAGCCATCGAAGATTACTTGAATTGGCCGACCCCCAAAGAAGTTTGTTAACCATCTGCACAGACCAGCAGGAAACTCATATAAGTATCTACTGGAAACTTACCAATAAGGTCGTAGTGCTAGACTCTATCACAGGCTTTCGAAATGTCGAGCGAAACTGCCAGTGCCTCCCTGTGCGTTTCGATGGCCTCTATCTATATCTCTATCGTAAGTTATGCAAGAAATTCCCCAGGATCACTGAGAAGATCTTTATTTGGATAGAGAGATAGACGAGATAGGCTTGTAGTTGTAAGGATCAGCAAGACTACTTTTTTTAGACACAGGTGCATTTGGGTTTATTCACATCCAGATAGCGCAACGTCTTTTATAGGTACATACTCTGTCGGATGCAAATGTCTAACATATTCGTCTCGCATACCTATACTTAGAGAAGGCGATGCGCTACCATGCCAGATGTACCGCGTGCTTTAGCTTCTGCAGTCGGCGTCGAATAACGAGCGGGTACCACTAAGGTTTCGAACGCCGCATCTTTTAGTAGTACTCCATAGCCAGACGCAACACCCACGTTACTGCAGTCGCAGTCCGCAGAGGCTGACGGATTCACCAATCACACGGCTTGGAATCACATAAGAAATGTGGATTTCAAGCCATTTCAGGTCAATCACATTAGAAATGTGGATTTCTGCTCCGCTCCGCCTCAATGGAACTGCACCCACATGGGTGATCAGGCTGGAAGTGTATCGACACAGATTTACCTATAGGTACAGTGGTCAGAGTTACCCAGAGGTGAGAAGATTGACACTGAGTAGCAGTCTGGATCTTAAAAACTTTATTGCAATGAAACTAAAAGCAGAAGTTTTATTTATTTATTGGAAAGTAGGGTATACCATAGATACATTAAGCTCACAAATATAATAAAAGTAGTGTACATTTCTCGATTTCATTTATGAATTAACACAGTCAAAGAGACGGTGGGTGAATAAGCGCACTCCTTGTAGCTGAGATTTCATTGTTTTTGCTCTAAAGGTAATACATTTATCATCTACATTAAAATTGAAGCTCATGATAATCATAATCACATATATGTAGTTTAAAATTTACTAATGCACATGAAGCTTTGGATTAAAAATCTTAAAGCAATAACACATAGTCACATTTGATAGTAGCTACTGCCTTATAGTAAAACTTCTACCTAAACCTATCACAAATATCCCGTAAGTACATTGGACTATACATTGATAGCTATCTAATAAATTAAAATAGTAGCTCAGCTCTTACACTATTACTAAAAATGCATGACCTATTTCCAAATTACAATTTTGCATATTTATTGTACCTAGGTTAAATGAAGAGATTTGCTTGGATATACTTTATTGGAAAACAAGAAGTTTGGTATACATATATGCGGCACAAATATTTAATAATAAAATTTATAATTCTTATTAAAAATAAATCTATCCTCATTATGAGAAAAGAGCATAAAGCTCAGCTGATTTTGTCATATAAACTTTGTAAATTAATTCAAATTCATTGTCATAATACGAAATATATAAAATAACAAACTGGTCGTCATTATAACCCTCGTTCTGGAAGAACACTGTTCTTATTTTGCATTTTAATTAGACCGACATCGTGATTACTTAGAAAACAATTTATTGCTAACAAAATCCACAAACTTCTTTCGATTCTGCATTATGTAAATTTGAACGACTTGCGGTCGAGAATATATTGCAGATACAGTGAGAAACATTCTTCTATAATTTCATTACCTACACCTACGTAAAGGACGAATTTCGTTTATGGAATATACATGTATAGCCTACCTAAGAGTTACGAATTCGTCACATGTTACAGAACATTGCACAAGTCTTATCTACCACAAAGTTTAAATTGGTGACTTCAGCTCTACAGTCTACCAAACTAATACATTTTCTTATCTCTAATACATAAAACGACTTTTCATTTGTTCCAGTTATAAATATTAATTTAACAATTTCCGAGTGCAAGCTTGTTGATTAAAGCCCTATGAAACACACATAAGATCACAAGAACAAATTATACAATATTCTACTAAACTAAAGCTAAGCCTACCATAAATGCCATACAAGGTCTATAAAAATATTATTTGCTGATGTAATTATTGCAATTAAATCATTATTAAAGTTTTGATTAGTACTTGCAATGTTTATTTTACACATGAAACGAAGTACTAGATAGTCGAGTTACCTAAAGGATGAATTACACTAGAATAGGAATCCTAAAACCGCTAAAATTACCAACAGCGTCAAGAAAGGCCCATGGACCCTTTAGATATTGCGATGCTAGATAAATTATAGAAAACTTATATCAGTAATGTGTGAGATGCATTATCAAATGCATATAGCAAAATAAGGCACAAATAATAAAATGTAGTAATATTAACTAGACATAAGATTGAACATGTCGATTTGTAGCTAGACTAGTATAATACAGCACACTTAGGATGAACATACACTATATCTACACTTAACTATTGTAGACTACAGACACCGATTTAATTAATAATATCAATTGCTATTTTACCACTGTTTACCTAAAACATTAAGTACGTAACTTTAAAATATTGACTGGATTATATATTAGCTCGAATAAATATACTTGACTACGTATTGAAGCCACCAAAATATAAATAGATTTGTTTTTCTCTCTAGGAGCGGACAATAATTGAAGTTTACGGAATGATTGGTGACTTCAGACATTAATTGTTTTTAACCTCTATAAAGGATACTTCATTTATTAAGATACTCATTATAACTTGCATTTAAGAATACCAAAGAATGTTTTCAAAGCCAGAAATAATGAAAACAGATACAGAAAGTATGTACTCAGTTTTCATTTCTACATATCAACATCTCAAAATTGCAGTAAATCCTGTGCTAATTGGTGACATTTGTCTTATGAAACTGGCCCTAGTTTTACTCACAGAAAAATCAAAACATTTCTATCACAGATCAACGTTATTCAGATTAGACCCTGAGTGCGTTGGGAGGTCCTCATGGACTAACAAGGTCCCGATGGGCACCACGGCATCATCTCTCTCCCTCAATTTGCGCATTTCGTTCCTCAGTTTGTCGAGGACAGCGTAGTTGGGCTCGTTGTGACGCGCTTTGTCTTGTAGCAGAGTGATCTGCTGTTCCTCCAATTTCTTCTCCTTGCAACTCTTCACGGAGCGGGAGCCGTACAGCCGGAGTAGTGAGCCCCAGGAGCGCACGTGTGGGTGTAGCGCCTAAAGAGAGAGAACGGACTCCGCATTGAACAGTATTCAAACTTACTTTTCATTGGATACATAAAAACATATTTATACTTGTGACTTGGGCAATTATGAAGTTAACTAGTTATATACCTGTAAAATAGACTGCGAGGCGCGCTGCTTGGCCATCTTCTTGTTCTTGCTGATGACGGTGGCGGTGTGCTTGCCCACCTTCATCGTCAGCTCCATCTTCTGGTACTCCAGTTTCTTCATCTGGCCATTATTACATTAACAATTGGCATAATTATACACAATATTTGTGATTCAGACTGGTGTGAGAGTTATTATTATTATATACTTGAACACACTAGCAGCTTAGAAAGCTGATGCGTGCGTATTAATGGATTTGGAGATTTTGTCGAGTCTGTTTTTAAGACCGCACCGCGAATATTTTGATTTTAGATAGCTCCGCCCACTACACCCCGCGCGCTTACCGCGTCGCGCAACCCATACTTTTCACTCAATGTGTAAATTTTGAATTTCGCGCCAATCGCAAACGCCGAGGTCACCGCGGGGTCAGGAGAACCGAACAGGGAAGATAAGGAGCCGCAACTTACATTTAATTTTTTTTAACGGATTTTTTTTTGTACTTACAAACAACTAGTATTAAGTGGTTAAGGAATAAAAGCGTCGAAGATCTTGTATCATTTAATAAATGTGTGTGTAAGTATCAAAGAAGTAATGAAGCTAAGTAATTATTTTCAAAGATATTTATTAAAACTGAAATGTAAATAATAATGTTATGTAAAAAATACTAAAATTGACTAAATTGTATTTCAGAAATTACGTTGATGGGCTCCTCGGTCATTGATTCTCGATCATTCAAATTTTCTTTATTTTTACTGATATTTACGTAATTAGGTTCCCGAATCGGTAGCTTTCGAGTGTGACGCGGGTCCACCAATTCTGGTAGGAGACAGTCAAAATAAAAAGAAATTAATTTTGGCTCCATCTTATCAGTCCAAAACTCATCATCTTTAAAAATTTCTTCTACCTTTATCTGATTGTCTCCATACCATACTGCCAATATGCATTTTGGTACATCACAAACATGCATCTGTCCCTGGACCTGCATATACCAGTCGGACATCTTATTTATTACGATATCCCCTGTTTTTTTATTTATCCTCCATAAATGCATTTTGCCTTGACTTATGGCTGCCTCAATGCCGATTTTAAAAGGAATTACAGGACATTTTATTTCTACCAGGGTGTTATTTTCTATAATACCATCTGGTGTTGCTCCCAAAAATGGATGAGTTTTGTCGATGTATAGTCCACACGGGTCTATAGTCACTTTTAATAATTTCGATAGTTGCTCTAGAGCAACCTTCTCATGTGTTCGGCCATGGTTTATTGACGCCACGTGCCCAATGTCTGGTTTGTAAAGCATATTTTTGACAGTATTGGCACAACTATTTGTTCTTTTCCTTTTAACAATTTTCCCAAAATTAGACGCCGTTAGAAGATTCCTGCGTAACTCCATCCACTCTCCGCTCTCACTCTGCAGAATTGTGCGTGATTGAATTTCATTTCTTTCGGCGTCGCATTTCTCTAAATTTTTCAAAAAAGTGGTTTTACAGTTTTGATATGTTTCTGCATCCATATCAGGTGCTTCGACATTTTCGCCGTAATTGAAATCAAGTTTTTTTGGCAACAAAGCACGGTTTTTCCGTCTTTTAATTGTTCTGTGGTATCTCCTTCTTTGGTCAACTTTTTCTTCGTAAGTCTTAAGCCTTCTGGAAGGAGATGCTTTATATATATTTTTAGATATGGCCGAATGGATTTTGCCCGTGTTGAAAGAAATAACTGCTCCTGCACAACGGGCTTGGTAGGAGCGCTTTAAGGAATAATTTATTCTCTTTCCACCCACAAATTTCGCGATAACTCCATTGAAACGCTCAACTACATTACTGTCAACATTTTCAATGAGGCTTCTTGCATGTGAAGAAACATTGGTAGTGATAAATCTTAATTTGTTAAATATGTAACTATTGAAAAAGTCTGCGCATTCCTGGGACACGTTTTCTCTTGAGCATATATTTTTGTTGCACTCGCCATGTTTGCCAAAAGCATGATTCATGGATTGGTTAATATCCACGTGTAAACTTTTTATACCATCTAATTCTCGATTTTTATTGTGATATGTTATGGAATCCGTGATATATTTTCTTGCTGTTAATATTTTTGCGGTCGTTACTTTTTTTCTATCATTCAAATTAAATTTAGTGTCGGTCTTTATTTGCTGTAATTTATTACAAAAATTTCTTAAAATGTGATTCCGGCAATTAATTTTCTCCACTGTTACGTCTGGATAAGGTCGAGATTCCAAAATTTTAGCGTAAGTGCTGCTATCTCCATCTGCTATAAAACGAGCATATATTAAATTGTGCATTTCAACAGACTGTTTAAAGCCTTCTACCAATATAGCAGATTCCATTGCAGTTGAAGTACCGCTATAATTTTTAAAACATTGGTGTGCTCTAGGAGTTGTATTACGCTTTTCAGATCTGGCACAAATGCAACAATATTTGTTTTTTACGCTCATAAATAAAATTTGGCCGAAACGTCTTCCTACAATGGCAGCGGCCCCAGAGAGTGCAGCATAGTTGGATTTATAAGAGCGTTTCGACCAACAACCATCGGCAATGACGTCTATTAACGCAATGCCGTCTTTAGTCACTTTGCCTTCGTTTATAGCAGCCTCGCGTTCTCTTTCACCTGCCGTTTTCATTTCATCCCAAGCCGTTGTCTCCCAGGCCTGACATATTTTATTTTGACAAGCACTGTAAGTGTGTTCCGATATAGATGGTAAATCTAAAGAGGCTGTTATTCGTTCTAATTGTGCATTGCCACAACCTGCAGTCATTGTACCCTCAATCAGTTTGGTATTTAAATCTTCTGGAGTGTTTTTTATAGTAAACCGTGTTTTGCACAGCAAGCATTCATACAAGAATTTCGAAACCAACCCTTTCTTTGTTTCCGAAATTAGCTCCATGGTGTTAAAAGAACATTGGAATAGTGATTTGTGGCTGGATATTCGCATAAGCTCTTCGGTAAAATATTTGAAATCCACTATTCTGTGATTCCCATCTTTTATTTTCTCAATCTAAAATATTTAAAACAACATATTAAATAAATTTTATATTAAAAAAAGTTTTTACAAAAAAAAAAAAACCAACAACCGACTTCACAAAAAGACTAAAACCGAAGAGTGCCTTCGATGCTCTGTCATCTCTATTATCAGATCAGCTCTATATCTTCATGGTATTGAAGTGACATCAGACTTTCACCTGAATATCAAAATTTTACTCAAAACGGTCCTACAATTTTCAAAAGATAACCTTTTCATTTTAAACAAAAAAGGAATTATTCAAATTAGTTATTACCTAAACAGCGGAGAAATGCGCGAACAAACATAAAAAGCATATTTACGGTCGAATTGAGTAATTTGGGAAGTCGGTTTAAAAACAGATGACTAAGACGCTGGCAAAAGCTATCTAGCTTTTAATGAAAGGTTACAAGTTTGATTTATCAGACACATACTTGCTGTCCTTGTGTTGCTACTTCACAAGGTAAATCCCATAGTTCGTTGACAGACTCTGGTTTTTCTTTATCTATATTATTATCATTATTTACATCGGTAAATTTTCTTTTGCGTGTATTTCTGCAAATAACAATCAAATTTATAAAAAACGAGTAACCTAAAATATTTTTCAGCTGATTAAATATAAAGTTACCATATTTATAGACCGAGATTAGATAGAGTTTGAGACTTACTCATTTGAAACATCCTTAATTTGTTTAAGTTGTTGTTCAATAACTTCACTACTTTGAGAAACTTTATCGACGTTATGTGTTTCTTCATGATCCTGTAGTTGGCTGCTTTTATTAATATTACACCAGGTTTCTAATACCAAATGATTGCTGCCAATAAATACCAATAAAATATATGAATATTTTAATCCAACATTAAATCTATATAAAAATATAAAAATCACTTGTCTTACGTTTCTTTCACATTCGTTGCCGGAATCGCATCTAAGTCGCTTATTGATTTTACTGGCAGAATCTGTTCGTTTTGCAAACTTTTCCTAAGAGACAATAAAATAAACATTTTAACTTTAAAATAACATACAACTAAAAACAAAGCCTCCATAGATTTTCTACTCTCAGAAGACTTATATTTACGTACGTAGTACCTAACTATTTAGTGTACAATAGTAGTAAATAAAAAATAACATATAACTGAGAATTTTATACGGTCTCCATAGATTTTTTGTTCTCAGAGTGCTTATATTTACGTAGTACCTAACTACTTATTTAGTGATGTGTGCTAATATTTACAATATCTAAGGACATTCATATAAGTATAGGGTGGCTGGTAATTAGTGAACGATACTTAAACACGTGTTTGTGTTGATGGTATCAAACAACATTTACTATAGAAGCAATGTCGAAATCGCGAAAAAAATATCAGCTGTTTATTACCTAAAAATGGTTTTTATGCAGCGACTCGGGCAATATTCAAAGCCGTAAAGTTTGAGGAGATCTACCTATAGTTATATCTCTACTACGAATGGTTATTGTTCACAACTACAAAACTACAAAATACGTTACAGAACAATAATTTCACTAAAACGAACAAATTACAACTACATAATCTAATTGCTACATAGGTAGGTATTGATGATTTTCTTTTATTTACCTTGCCTTTTTCAACTCTTGCATTTTTTTGGCACATTCTTTAAGTTGTTGTTTCCTTATTCTTTTAGAAACAACTTTTTTTGTTCTCGCCATTTTAAGTATTTTAAACTTAAACCTAATTTAATAATACTAATTTAATAAAACCTATAATTTCTTATCCTACTAATAATTACACATACAAAATATTTAATTAAAACCTAAAATTAAAATTACGACACGAATTATTATACCTAACGGCCGGAGCGACAACATGCACAGATCCGAACTCGAAGAGGGCTATCGCCGGACTGGCTCGTGTCCGTACACATTGTGTATCAATCGCTAGAGCACGGGCATAAGGTTCAGAATTGCGTAGCGTGTACCATGATCGCGGCCGCTCGAAAAATCCGATATCTTAAAACTTTAATTAAAAATGTTTGGTAATAGTTATGGAAAAATGACTTTGACAAAACCTTAATATTGATGTTACGAATATATTAGAGTAATTTTGAAACATAAAGATAGTGTATCTTACTCGTAATTTCAAAAATAGTACTTTTTTAGACGTGTTTTCGGAATTAATTATGATCGAGTAAAATTATCAGTATCGTGTTTTCGTTCAGACAGAATCTAGATAAAGATATCAATTTACCTTTATCAAAATTTCAGATCCATTGGTAAGCTGGTATTCCTAAAATTTGGCATGGCAAACTGCAAATAAAATCAAGGTGGCGCCTTAAAAGAATTAACTGTGGGTGCTTTTATCACATTTTCTGGTAGTTTATTCCATTCCGTGACCACCCTATTAGGTAGGAAGTGTGTCAAGGGATTCAGTTTTGAGGATGTTCTGCATAGTTTTAATGAGTGTCCTCTCAAATTTCGATTTTTATTAAGAAGATACATATTCTTAAGTCCAGGAACGTTGTAGCAGTAATGTAAGTACTTTTCAACAAACATAACACAAGTTGGTGTATATTCGAAATCAAGCAGCTGTAAGAGATTATGAGATAGCGTTGAATTTGTCAGTTATATTTGCAATGCATAAGCAGTGATGTACAAAATGTACCCTATAATATCAATTTCCAATGACACTGGATATGCTATTCATTGGTATGTGGTAACACCAGCATGGCGGCAATATTGTTGCAGCCTTAATTAGATATGAGTATGTAGTTACCTCCGTGTGTATATGTCGGTCCCCGGCGCCGAAGTTCCTGAGCAGACAGGTGCGCAGTATGTCGTGCGGGGAGGGCTCACACGTGGCCGCGCAGAATTCCGTGATGCGCGGGTCCTCGATACCCACGTAATCGAAGAACTGACAACACATTACTAACCATTACCTTACTGACTCTCCGTCTAAGTACAACATCACTACATAAATATCGTCAACAAGAGGCTTTCCAAAAAAGTTCTTTATTTCTATTGTAGGTATACTTTTTTGTATTTTAATTGGGTGCATTTTAAACAATCATTATCAAGTTATGGAAGTGTTACAGTGGTTGTTTTTATATTATTTTAGTTGTTAATCGTGAAACCCTGTAATTGGCTTTCTGATGTCAATCAGAATTATTGAGCTTATAAGTTGGTGTTGGTTATTTTATAAATAAATAAAAGCATCTAGGTTTCAAATATTTTGAGGATCTTTCTACATGAATGTGGCGTTTATGGGGCTAGGGGGTTGCCTAACGACTCAGATTCTAGTTTAAATAAAGTAATTAACAAATATAACGATGAAATCAGACCAACAGTACTTAAAAACCATATTTTCCAAACACCCAGAGATGGAAAATTATTTGAGAACTTACTTTTGAGTGGAACTTATAAGACCCAAGGTCCAAAAAATATACCTACTTGCCCAGTATATTTATTGTTTAATTTTTTTTTACCCACGTAGGCAGTATTTAATAGCGATACTTACGGTGAAGTCCGGCTCGTTGGCGTCATTAGGCGCATTGTTGGGAGCGTGCTCGTCGAGCTCGTCCTTCATCTCGGGAATTAGGATATGTATGGAGTTCCGCGCGGCCGCGGACTTGGCCTGCCGCTTACTAGACCCGTGTCCCACGCCGTACTGCATGCCGCCGATAAATACCGTCGCCTGGTACGGTGTCGATGCATTCTCTGTGACCAAAAAAAAAAACTTATTTCGTTATCACAACCTTTACTTACAGGCAATCAAGGCCCTCCTTTTAAGTAGAACCAAAACCAACTTTAACTTAATTTACTTACGGTATTTAATTTATGGTAGCATTAATAACATAAATGTTTATTACCGCCTGTTACGAATCCAATGGATCCTATTTTAATGGAATAGGCAGCTTCGTCTGCTTGACTCAGACGAAGCTCCTGATGCCAAGGGCAAAGACATCTAAGAATTGGCGGCGAGCAACCTATTCTTGATAGATGATATTGTCTCTACTGAATCCTGCCGATAATATAGCAACTGATACAAATCACTAAATGCTACAGCTAGAGTTAATTCCTATCAGACAATGTAACTACACCCTAAATAACCATACCCATAAAATTTATGCTGTATATGGGTATGGTGCACATACCAAGCTGTTTGAACTCGTACACGGGTTGTTTCTGCAGCGCTCGGCGGACGTACTCGTGGAACACGGAGAGGTAGGTGCGCCCATTCATGTTCATCACCCAATCACGCTTGGTAGTCTTACCGCCACCTGTAATCATAATACATTTAAATTATCTAGGCTTTTATCAACTTTTTCAGTGAGATCTCGTTTAAATAGTAATCAAATTAAGAAGAATGCAGTAGATAAAGCGAAAGAAGTTTTCAAATCGTTTCATTTGTACTTCAACAACAATGGAAATAGTACATTACAATCCACAAAGAATTTAGTAGAAGGAAAAGCTTTAGGCTGCGAGACTACTGCTTAAGATCATGAACCCCCTTTTTTGTGAGGGGAAAATCATCAAATGACTTCTCTCTCCTAGAGTCGGGCGGGAGGGAGTGTCAGATCGATTAAAAACCCCCGTTCCTTCTCCTGCTCTGGACCGAGGCCGCGGTGCCTCATTGCGCTTGCCCCGCAACCCCGGCAGATCATGAGCCCCTAGCGTGGGTTGAAACTAGTCGAGTTGTCTCACCAAACGTCTTAAACGTTATACGGAGTTGTTGAGCAGGTAAGCCTTTAATCGCTCATGGATTGGTTATATTACAAAAGCGCAGGATTACCAGTTACAGAAGTGTTAAGAACCATAGAATTTCGAAGCAATAATTACCCGCATTCTCTTCTCCTGTGTTAGCAGGTTGTGCAGGAATGGTGATCAGCTTAGTACCTTCAGGTAGCGTGGGGTACTGCAATGTCTTCCTCGCCTTAGTGTACTTACGGCGATCTGCCCAACGTCTGGAACAATATGTAAAATTTAGACAGGCTGTTTCAACGAATTCTATGTTTTTGATCAATTATTTGAATACATACTTGAAGTGCATGATGTTAACTGTCTTGAACTTGAACAGCCGCCGGCAGTATTCGTTAATCTGTTCAGCGGAGAGATGCTGCGTCTTCCAGCTGGTGCTGACCGTCTCCACCCGCGGCGGCGGCATTACGATACCGCCCGGCAACACCACCGGCTGCCGGCTGGGCCGGATGTCCAGCTCCCCGTTACTAGTTCCCGCATTGCCTCCATTCTCAGCATTATTCATTTCACTAGCTTGTGTTTCGTCTGTAGATGTTCCAGGTAGGGTTTCTATCGGCTCATCTTTTCCAACACTGCAATTTTCTTGTTCATTACCGACAGCTGTTTCTTTAACTTCATCGGTCGTTACGTCACTGGTGAAGTCAGGACACAGTTTGGCATCCTTCATTTCAATATCGCATTGCAGCTCTATAGCGTCGCCAGTAACCGCCGTGCCAGTGCTGCTGTCCTGGCTGTTCTCGCTGTAATCTGCCTTCGAAGATTGCGAGTTGATGATCCAAGTGCCGGTACGGATTTGTTCTGCAATTCTTTTGTCAATCTCTTTTTGTTTGTCTTCTTCTTCAAGAGCCTTGCGGTAAGCAAAGCATGGTATTGCGCTAATCGGTATATCATGCCGCTGTAAAAAGGGTCAAGTTTATTACTTTCTATCAACTAACATTATCTTAATATTTAATTCCTAACTATTTATAGTATAATAATTTTTATTTAACACAGTATATTTGTAACTTACCCGAGTATTGCCTGATCCGAGAAAGTAAGGTTTGGAGAGCGTGCACACCCGCGTGGCGCGGTGCATGTAGATGGGCATCCCGCTGATGTGGCGCACCATGATCCAGTCCAGAGGGAGCACCTCGAAATGGTTCACACCCTTCTCTGTGAAGTTAGTTTCCTCTTAATAATTCGATACTCGACTCTAAAGAGAATATTCTACCAGTGAAAATATTATGTTTTGAATTGAACTATTCTCAGAATTATGAATCAAGAATATTTGCACGCCAGTGCTCCATCAAATCCTATGGCCTTAAGTCAAGTAGGTATATAATATATACACAAACTATAGTAGGAGACTCCTGTTTGGTATTTATTGATTCCACGACATTAATAAAAGCACATCACAACAACTGCAAATAAAAATGACCACCATGCTAACCTTCTAGAACAGTAGTTTGTCTAGTAATGTACGCCTTTTCCTTCTGCTTGGGAGCGCCTTTGAAGTCTTCTGGAAGGTCTTCCTCCAGCATTTTCTCGATTTCTTCTTCAGGCAGACCTTTGAATATATCTGCTATTTTAACTACCTTGTTGACAGTATTTCAACATACTATACATATAGCTAACACAAAGATTTCACATAGATTTTTTAAATTATTATCAGGCAACAGTATCATTCTCTCAGTATCTAAACATTTAAAGTTATTTAGTTTTACTACATTTAGCTAGGTATTAGTTGTGTAGATTCCAAGAAGACAGAAATTCTGTTGATTGTGCAGGCCAAGAAATCCAAAACAGAAGAAAAAACATTTTTTTTTAAACATGGTAGAAACAATATCTGTCATTGAAGCTCCAACACATACAGGATGGCAATTAAGAATACAACATTGAGATAGTACCTAGAAAGAAGTAAATAAAAATAAATTGGAAAGGACAACACTTCTTGATAAATAAGTACAGGATCCCATATAACTTTGAAGAGAAACAATAATTAATTCTTTGATTACAGACATTGCAGTTAAAGAATAAACCCCATGTCATTGTTATTATCACAAATATGTTGATAAATATCTAAATAAGTCTGGTACAAACCTAGAAGTATTCTTTAACTGCAAGTGCTAACAACACACTATCAGGGAGACAGAGCATGCAAGACAAGGTACACAAAGACAGGACTACCGTCAGAGCTATCTGATTCTTCATCATTGGTGTCTTCATCATTAGACTTGACTTCGTCCAACACCTTGAACTCTCTCAGCCTCTCCAGTTCTTCAGGAGTCACGAAGTTACCATAGCTATCTTCACTACCAAACTTAATATCCTCTCCGTTTTCTTGATTCTCTTTCAACACATTGGAAGCACTGGCTTGGCTACTTGATGCTTCTCCATCATTTAGTTTTTGCTTTTTTGCTGCTGGCAGTTCAGATTGGGTTTCTTCACTCATCTTTCACTGTCTAAAATATTTATTAGTTTAATTGTTTATTTCCATTGAAATGCTAGGATTGGTACCTAGTAATAGATTTAAAAGTTGTAACTGGCTCTAACTGGGTGTGGTTGTACAGTTTTTAGTGAATTTAACATGAACAATAGCAACAAATATTAAATAATATATTACTAAATTTAAAGATTTGCTATACATTCAATTTGTTTTACCTTAATTTCTTCAACTAATTCAGTGATATTATCTAGTTGTGTATAACTTGATTATACTTAAATATTTTAAGTGTCAACTATACAAAAGCTGTTGTTGCAAATTACTGTGAAAGCAGGTCACAAGGTGCAAACTAATCATCTTCCATAACACAAATCATTTATTGATTTATTGCTACTGTAGAGCTGACTGTAAGGATATAACCTGACATGAGTGTGTACTTCTTTCTACTCTTGACTTAAACGATAAATATATATACAGGGAGGTAGTATAGCCCTAGCATTCCAGCACTAGTGTCATCAAACACCTGAAGGGTTTTACCTTTCGAGGTTATTCACATAAATTATGCTGTAGTAAGATAGTCCACAACTAGCGATGGAAATTAAAATCCAATGTGTATCAACAGTTGGATTCCAACCATCGCTCGATGTAAACTTTCGGTAATTCTGTGACCGCGTGAAAGGCGTGCGCTACGGCCGCGGAGATGAGGCAGAGTTGCGCCAGACTAGAACCTCTGATCGTTTATACAGAGTCTAGTCTGTAGCAAAACCGCTTTAATATACCCGCAGGATACCACCTCGGGCAGCGCTGCTAATGTATTCCAGTGTTCTCTGCAAAGACAACTTGAGACTTGTGACTTGCAAAAAGGTCAAACCGAATAATGCTAAATTACGTTTATACGGCTAAGCACTGTAAGCTACTTAACTACAAACCAACCAATTTATCATGATTCATAACAAAATGCATTGTAATCTGACCGTTTTGCAAGTGTGCTAGAAAATATTTTTACTTACGTGACCCACACTCAAAACAATGTTCAAATTAAATTTATGTTACATAAATGGTTTCGCTAGTCTTAACAACGTTAAATAAATCATAGAACAAAATATTATATTAGTAAATGTAAAATATGCGATTCCATTCAAATTATCGGTAAATCCACAGCCGTTCTACTTTCTTATTTCTAATTTATAATTTTTTACGAGCTTCAAGCTTGTTTCTTGTTTTATCTATATCAATGAATGAATGATTGAATGATTGCAGTGTTACCAACCTCGTAAAATATTTAGCCTTTAACCCTTTACCGTATGGAGTTTTAGATAGATTTGGTTCAAATTATTTAACATTTTTCTATGGCATAATAGTTATCCCAAAATTTTTTAATTTATTTTTTTAGACATGATAAACCGAAATAAGTTCGTCGATCCACAAGATCTCTCATTTGATACAACATGCATTCAATGCATCAATTTTATTGTATGATGGTATGATGAATAGGATTTACGTTTTATGTCGACATTTAATTTTGCAAAACCACATGAAATCCTTTTCAAAATAACAATCTTTGTTTAAAAAAACATTCGCAATCACTACAGTAAGAGATGCGTCAATTTTTGCATCACTGCCGTTTTTCCCCTCTGTGAGGCCAATGCACAAATCCCTTCGTATACCACTTCTTGCGAAGGCAGTTTAATAAGTCGTTTCATTTTTCTAATATGTTATACCCACATTCAGTCAACAAAGTATCGGTTATGAATGTTTTTTTTATGGTTCCAAATTCGAATTTTAATTTTTTTGTTGTTGTTAGATTGGCATAACTGTTTTCCATTTTGGCGCGGAATTTGAGTTGCATCTGTTATTTATATTAAACAGTGCTGTTTTTAGTTTTATAATATCTAGTGTGTATTGCGAATTTCATAATGGACAAAAACATCGAACAAAGAGTTTGTCTTAAATTTTGCATCGCCAATGAAATTTCGTGTTCGGAGGCATTCAAAATGTTACAGAAGGCTTACGGTGAATCGACTTTATCAAAAACACGTGCTTATGAGTGGTACAAAGCGTCCAAAAGCGGTCGAGATGTGATGGAAGATTTGCCTCGTTCTGGTAGGCCATCAACGTCTGCAACTGAAGTTAACATCGCAAAAGTGAAGGAAATAGTGACCGACCAATGACCGACTGAAAATCCTCATTCAACTTTGAGAGAGATGGCCGCCTAACTTTCTGTATCTCACGAGTCGATCTGTACCATTTTAACAAATAATTTGGGTATGAAACGTGTTGCCGCTCGGCTAGTCCCAAAAGACCTGAATTTTCTTCAAAACTAAATCGCATGATGAAAGTCGCTGAGGACATGCTAGAACGAGTCAATACCGACCCAACATTCATGAAACGCATTGTTACTGGTGACGAGACGTGGGTTTACGAGTTTGACATGCAAACTAGTCAACAAGCTTCGGAATGGCGCCTTCCAACTGAACCAAAACCGAAAAAACAAAGTCATGTTGACTGTTTTCTTTGACTATCGCGGTGTTGTGCACTCAGAATTCTTGCCCGAAGGTCAAACGGTAAATAAAGAATATTATTTGAGCGTTATGCGGCGTTTAAGAGAACAAATTCGACGAAAAAGGCCAGAAATGTGGAAAGAAAATTCTTGGATTTTGCATCACGATAATGCGCCTTCGCACAAGGCCATCATTGTAAACGATTTTTTGTCCAAACACTCAACAAACACCATCGAGCAGCCACCATATTCACCAGATATGGCTCCAGCCGACTTCTTTCTTTTTCCCACACTCAAATTACCCCTTCGTGGCACCCGTTTTCAATCGTTAGAAGACATAAAGGAGAATTCGCGGCGAGCACTGAACTCAATTCCGGAAAAAGCGTTTAAAAAAAGTTTCGATGATTGGATTATTCGTTGGCGTAAGTGTATCGTCTCTGAAGGAGCATACTTTGAAGGTGATAAAATAAATTTAGGTATATGAATAACAAACATTTTGTGTATTATTGACTTTTTCCCGGTACTTTCTTGACAGAGTAGTATATCAGTTTAGCAATCTTGTAACGACATTGCCAATTAATTTTGACATTTAATGTGTTCACATTGGTTTTGTGTTGTCCTGTACCCAAAGATTCGATATGAATTCCGAAGCACCAGTGTCAAAAAGCGATCATAATTTCTGTCAAGTTTAGGAATTTCTTTGGTTTTATCATGCAAAAGCCGTTAAATTACTTACTTCAAACTTCTAACAAGTAAGGAGATAAGCTGCTGTAGCACATAGGCATTATAATCTAAGGCCATTATGTTAAGTTAGTTAAGTTCAATGGAGTCTGTCAATAACCACCACCTTATCAGCAAAGAGGTGACCAGACGATATAGTTGCTAATTTCTAAGCCTGACTATCTTCTAAGTAGAATGTAGGTTTTTTATGTGATAGGTCGGCAAACAAGAAAATGGTTTATCGGATGGTAAGCCATCAGCGCCGCCAATGATGAGCGCCGCCCATGGACGTCCGCAACAATGAAGGAGTTAAGAGTGCGTTGCCGACTTTAACCGGGCATCCGGTATCCTCACTGACACAGCAAAACACATCGCTGTGGTTGTTTCACGCCGGTTTTCTATGAGGCCGTGGTATCACTCCGGTCGGGCTACCGATTCGAAGGTGAGGACGCCATGGCGTTTTGCTAGCGACTCCTCAAAGAGGGGCCTTACGTAGTGTCCGGAGTACAAGTGTCCGGAGGCCCAATCCTTCCCCTCCCCCAATCCCTCCTAAATCCCTAAATCTCCAAATCCCTAAAAGGTCGGCAACGCACTCGTAACTCCTCCGTTGCGAGTGTCCATGGGCGGCGCTGATTGCTTACCATCAGGTAATCCGTCTGCTCGTTTGCCGACCTATTAAATAAAAAAAGGATACACTGGTAACTGGAGTTCGGAATTTTATTAAATACTTAGTCAAAGAAAAAATACCAATCCAATAACAAATCTTGGGTGGATTAAAGTATATGAACTACAAGAGGTTAAATATCCTTATGTGTATTTGGTTAAAAAGGGTTGAAGAGGAAACGTGGCAGAGTTCTACTTTAAATTTAACTAGTTAAATAAATAATGAAAACAGAATAAATTAAATTGTGTTTTATTGATCACAACATACCTACTGACGTAAAATAAGCTTATATTAGGTATAGCTATATTTTGGTGGGTAGGTACCTACATAAATAGAACAAACATGATTAAATACACAAATTTTACTACTTTATAATTATACTTATACCAATATAACAAATTAGGTACTTAATTTAACGACCTTCATATTATTTTTCCTACTCGTAACGGCTTATCCCAATAGGCTCCACATCAAGATGCAGAGAGAAGTGAGTTGATCTCCCCCATGCCTGACCTTGAGCCGCGCGTGGACACAACATCCCGGGTTCTGTTTAAAGGGATGAATAAGTCTCCCCAACTCCTCCGTCCACGGACCCATTTAGGGGATCGGAAAAAAGCAGCTTCTGCCCACCTCCTATGGCCGGTGCGTCTGCTTCGAGTGGGAAGAGGATTCGCGGTCTCACTTTCTCTTTCCGCAATCTCCTCCTGCGACCACACACCTTCACAAAAGGATACCACTGCATCCCACGACTCCACATTGCTGGCAATTTTTTGAACAATCGTTAAAAATTAAGACACGACGTGGTTTATGCCACGCGGTACACAGTAGTGGAAAGCACACCACTAGTGTGTACCACGTCGTATCCTCTTCAAAATACATGCCCTGATGGCACCGAGCATCTGGCTTCCTGTCTATATGCGACACGGGGACTTCCCGAAGCATCCAGGCCCCAAAAGTGCATCACGCGAAATGACAGAGAACCGTCCCTTCTCCCGATCCCGAGCTGGACAGCTGGAGTACTGGCTGGATCGCCTCGACTCGATAGTGATGAGGCCAGCAATAGGTAATTTAATCCCGCCATTCCGTCACTAAGACGAAGAAGAAGCTCTGACCGGCGCAATTCTATTTGCCGTTGCACCAGTCGGACACGCCGTTCTCTCTTTTCCTCACGCCGATATCGTGGAACTGCCCTTGATAGCACTAATGGCCATCGCCTTTTTAGAATTGCGATGCTAGCTGTCAGGTCAGTCACCCAAACTAAAGGGAACCATATATGGACCGGGATAGATCCTACGTAGAGTCGTCTACAGCCAGCGCAAGCCCCCCACATTGGGATACAGTGTTAAGAATGCGGCCAAAGCTTTTTAATACGCTTTTATTATTTCGTTTGCGTTAGCTGCTGTGCATTTACTTTGGCGTTAGCTGCCGAAAGTGTGGGCCGAAGTCCCACCGGCGGTCAAACACTAATTTTAGGTACTTTATGGTGGACTTGAAAGCTATTCGAGCCCCACTAACCACGATATACGATTTCTTAAGATGGTGGTGCTCGTCTTGGGCCGTAGAAAACTATGGCTTCCGACTTAATAAGGGCTTCCTCCAAGCCCCAACCGGGAGTTTTAAATGAAATAAATAAAGCACCTTGCCCAAAATACTTTAAAGAACTTCGACGTTTCCTCAATATGATGAATATCTACAGACGAAGCATCCTAGAAGTCGCAGTTTCAAAGACCACTTAACGCGTAACTACTAGGATATTAAAAAAAAACGCATCGAAATTGATATTATATGGAATGAAAGCGCGTTAAAAACATTTAGCCAATGTAAACAAATTAAAAACAATGCTGACATGCTGGCCCACCCCGATGCGACCGTACCCTTACAGAAATCCTTCTGGTAGGTGTGTAAGTAGGTACAACTTTAAATCAAAGAGTAAACCAAAAATTACAATCTCTCGAATTTTACTTATTGTAGGTTACGGATCCAAACAAGATACAGTACCTATGACCGGGAACTTTTAGCTATATAAGTAGGTACATAGTCAATAAAACATTTCCGTCACATGATAGAAGCAAGAGAACTAGATCACAAACCATTGACTTTTGCAATAACAAAGTTTCAGCTTCAGAATTACCAAGGCGTTTGAGTCAATTAGATTTCATCTCTCAATTTTGCGATATGGTATGAATGTGAGGCGTAAAAATACAGTAATTGACACCTTTATGACCTTATCCAGGATAGAAGAGATTATCATGCCATCTATATTCGATTATCAAAAACTATCCGAGTTACAAGAAATCGATTCTGAAAATCTACGTACAAGTGACAATCTTCGATTTAAATTAATAACTGTGCCTAATACACCGAGCTTAAAAAAAACGTGAAACATCTACGAATAGGTAGGTAATATACGTTCTTATCTACCAAAACAGTTCCGGGAACTCGCAATCGAAACATTGCACAACGTCAGCCACCCCGACGTAGATAGTGGATATTATTGGCTTAATATGTATACCGATATCATAAATTTCGTTAAAACATGTATACAACAACCAAGTTAGGCGAATGTGACACAAAAAAATTGGTTCGAACATGTGCATATAGGCATATAGCCGCACTAACAATTAAATAGCAAAAACGTATGCATTCACAAATACGTCCGGAGAGAACAACGAGCACTTATAACGAAGCGCCACATCCAAAGAGCGATAACATGCCACTCCACCACACACCACCAAGCGATACGACGCCATTCGACACCGCAAAGCCTGCTTTACAGCATATTGGGTCGTTTCGTTGTGAACACCGTGAGATTCAACATGTGAACCGGCTCTCCACCGTCTACTGCAGCCCACATCTAAACTTCGCTGTCACACAACAACAAGCACGCATTACCCAAGTAACAGTTCCGCAACTCCCATGACCCATTGTACAATCAGCCAGAAAAATGACCGTCGTAGCACAAAACAGCAAGGCTGTAAGCTCGAAAGGCAAGGTTTAAGACAAGAACCTCAGCAGCACAGTCCTCTCCAGGCCCTTGATGTTATCAGGGAGATCAGTGCAGACCATAAACGCAACATACTCGTTGCTATTAGTAATTGTGTTGCCTTTTTTGCCTTGTTTTGTTTGTCCCTTTGTTTTTCGTTGCTATCCGATGTTGATGTTGACGATTCTATGATGTCATTCATGGTATCCGCACTTTCAAAACCTTGATATTCAAAATGCCTCCAATGCATCTTGAGTAAGACTCTTCTCTCTTCTCTATTCACTTTTAAGAGACAAAATCGTACTCCGAATCTGTTCCGTCAGTTGTTACGGAGGTAAAACATAATCTTCTTTATGGGTTAGGTCTTCATCATCGCTATCTAAATGAATGTAGCATCCGTTTGCGCGTCGAGTCCCTGAAAATAAATGAATACTTAATACTTAATATATAAAATACTTTTTGATAACAAAAATCCCATAGCGTTAATCTTCCCAAATATACAAACAAGCTCGCTCGATCTAATTTCTCACTATAAACGTTACAATATTTTTTTTTTTTGAAGTCTTAATCTCTATATTATGTTAGTGTGGGAGAGCCAAGCTTCAGCACGAAAGGGTTGGCTCGACCGTAGTGATTACAGCGTTGTTTCACCTTGTGAGTAAGGTTATCGAAGGCCCAATCCCTCCCCTTTATATCCGAAACACTTATCCCCCGAAACGCCGACAACGCACTCATAACTCCATTGGTTTTGCGGGTGTTGATGGGCGGCGCCGATTGCCATATCCCATAAAAAAGCCCTGAACGATGTACTTATTGCATGTAGTCTCATATATGACCGGCTGGCACAAACTGTACTGCATTAAGTATCATATAATTATATATTATTTGCAAAATGTATGCATACATAACTGTATAAGTAGAGTATAATTTCAGACACAAAGCCGTTGTCCGTTTATCGTCAACAAGTATTGGATGTTACTTACATGTCTTTCCGTATAAATTCATGGGATCCATTTTAATCACTCGTAAATAACAAGAATAGGTAATTTTAGATACTGGAAGAGGTATCCAAAATCGACTTTAACAATCCACAAACCGCATTCACCAATTACTAGGCAGGCAGAGAAAGAGAACTCTTTTTTTTTTTGATAGGACCACTCGTATTTCAGCACGCTACGGCTGATAACTCACTCGAGAGAACTCACTGTACACAGTGTTTATATACTCTTTGACTGCACCATTGACATATATTTTCTATCTCAATGGACTGCACACAAAGGGAAAATTGACATTAGTATTAATACAGATGGCGCTTCTTTCTTAAATGATTCAGTGTTGTCAATCAAATATTTGTAATTAAATAAAAATGTTGTAGATATACATATTTTTAGTCCTAACATTGTAACAGATATAAATCAAAACAGTTGGGTAGTTTCCAAGGTCAAAAATAAATTAATTCGACGTTTCAATACAATAAAATATTGAAAAATAACTATACTTTCATTCATCGATCGATCGATACACTAAGTTTTAGATATTTTTTTGCTAATTATAAAGAAATAAGTAAGCTATTTGACGCAAAAATACTATGACGTCATAACTCAATGCTTCATACAAATTTCATAGAAAAGTACCGTTTTTGACGTTTGGATAAAAGTATTGAAATTGACTATACTCGGAATTTTAATTCCATTCCAGATTTGACAATTTCAGTGTTGCAACGTTATGACACGTAATAAATAGTGACGTTGCGAAATTATTCGATATGGAAATCGAATATTTCTGAATCGATTCCTCTCGTTTATAAATTTACTCTTGTAAACTAAGTTTATCAGGAAATAAAAAATTTCTGAACCGATAATTTAGTTTTGACAATTAAATAACGATCTGAGGCTTTTCTTTTGTAATTGTGTGTGAAATTAATAAAAAATGTGATCATGAAGGAACGTGACAAATAAAACAGACATTTAATAAATTGTCGCCGTCATCGCTATCGCTATCGCCGTTACTCTATGTAACATTTATTATGAATTGTGTCTTTGATATTTATTGTCAATTAACATATCTAGCTTACTCATTTTTTCCTCTTCTTTGAAAACATAGGATACACATTTAGACCATTCGGTAGCCGTAATTTTTTGAATGCCTTCCTGAAACTGATTCACTGATTGTTTATCGATTTTTGTGTTCATCACTACACTGTTATATGTGGTATCATTATTTCAGAAAATGACAGTGGTCAATGTCAAATCAGGAATAGAATTAAAAGTCTGACTATAGTAGGAAACTACCGTATTGCCACGCCACTTCCAGACTATTGAAGAAGTCGTTGGAGTAATCGTCCATAGTAAAAAGGAAGGGATCTTACTCGCACACCTGTGTGTGTACAAGGTGGAACTAAACTCAGATTTGTGAATAGCTCTATATTGTGATATTTTTTTGTCTCGAGTGCATTTACGAACATAAATAAAACCAAGAAGCGCGACACCAGAAATAATAAAACAACACTTATATTTTAATTTATCTTTATTCACCACAGATTAAATTAAATGTTTAATTGTCTACAAATTACCATTTATTTAACATTATTACAAGACATGAGTCCTTATCAATTTAGGAATTTACCTTAGTACAGAGATTTTGTCACAAAAAATACATCGAAGTAATATTTTCACTTACAATCTATGAACATTTATCACAGTGCCGACAGCATTCAAGACATTCGAAGAAAGCTGCATACTTTTACCCTCATATTGGAAAACGTGGCAACCCCACAGAATAATTATTTACACCCCACAGATTAATTAATTATATCAGAATAATTAAATCTCATTTTAAACCTTCATCTTTGATTGATTTTCCAAAAAATAAATAAGAGGAGCCACAATACCTTCTTAGTGGTAATTTTATATAATCTTTTATATTCTTTTACTTTTTTAAAGTTTTGGGCCACATAACATACACTTTTTAAAGACACGTTTGTGTTTCCATCATTAAATATTTTGAAGAATACAGCCTTTTCTTTTTTAAATTACAGCTAAGCAAGGGGTATATCAACATGTTTCCTACACTTTTATTATTATTTTTAAAATACACTACGCTTACAATATGAATTGAAAAGATCTGACTAATTATTTCTTTTATTGCTATTGAAATCTATTGATGAAATTGATATTAGAAGTAGAGTCTACGTTTGAAAGTTTGGCCTTAATCTGTTGAACTATTATTGTTGATTAAGGGCTGATTTTTGAATAATCAGATAAATGTTATCTGAGGAATAAAATTGTTGCTGTCACTGTCTTATACAAACATTCTGACTCTACAGAATCATAATTATTCCCCAGGTAACTTTTATCAAAAAGAGAAGTATTTTTATAAGATAAGCGTAGAGTTTCCAAGGTACCAGGCTACCGCCGGCGTCGGCGCGGTTTGGGGGGCGGGGCGACGCTGACTTGGGCGGCGGCGAGCTCATCCTGCGAGACGTTCGCCTGCTGCAGCTGCCCGCGAGCTTCCACGAAGAACATCATGTCTCGAAGCTGCTCTTTTAGCTCCGATACCTGTTCAGGCGAACTGAATTAATAACTGTTCATACTATAACACAAACTTTGAAACTAAAAAAAATACAAATTACTTAGGAAGATGGCAAAACAACGATACCATACTGAAATAAACTATAAATATTTGTGCAATATTGTGCGACAGATTCTATAAGAACATAATATGTGTCGCCGCGAATACTGGTGTGAGCACACAACCCGGTAGATGCCAGCTACTCAAATTCAATACTGTCAAAAACTTGTCATAGATACTTTTCTATTTAATAATGTATGAACGCAAAATATTTTTACGTCAAATAGCATAATTATTTTTGAAAAAAATTGCTGACTTCATAGTAGTCAAGTCAGAACGATTTATTATTAACCTAGGAAACTACCCAATTACAAGTCCCGGTTAGAGCTTGAATCTTGTCGAGCACACTCGAAATACCTGTCAAAGTCAAAATCAATTATTCCAACTAAACCATAAATAGGTACTTTTTAAACGTCAAAATAGAATAGTAGTCTGTCTGTAGAAGCTAGGTGTTCGTTTCAAATTGTAGATTCAATTGGAGAACGAGAAGGAAACTCGACAGTTACTCTTTTTAAAAAATAATATTTGTTTTACAACATGACGCTCACATGCGTACGAACGAATGGCTTTATATAAACTATGGATTGAGTCGATGTCTGCATGAGTGATTAGGTCGTAGCCGTAAAAGAGTATTTTCTTACAAGTAATTAGTGTATGTCTTTTATTATTTATCATATTCTCCTACCTCTTTAACAAAGGTCTCTTCCTTTAGTTTAGCCCTGGCCTGCCACTCCGCCTGGCTGTTAGCGAGGGCTGCGGCCAGACCTCGTTCCTCTGACAACTCATTCTGTAATACTGATAGTCTGAAAAACAAAGATAAAAACTTTAGTTTTTTTTAAAGTTGTTGACATAGTCAAATATTTTGAAAAAGGAAAAAAGCGATTGCCTTCGTCATTCATTTAGTGAAGCTATTAGAATTGATAGGAATTGTTGTAACATCTATAATTAGTTTTTTTTTTTTTTTCTTCTGATGTTGGCAACTGAGTCTCCAATACAATGTTGTCGACTATACTGCCAGTGTCGAGTGGTGACGGCAGAGTAATGTACCGTCGACTTTTAACTTTGTGGTAGTATTTACATGTTAGTAGCTGAAAAGGACAAAACATTTGGGTTAGTAAACATATATCATCTATAAACCTACAGTTATTATACTTACCTTACGCTTAATAGATAATTAGATATATATATATAATAATTATAACACATATAATATTTACATTATTACACACCGCTACATTTTAATATTATTTTCATTCATAAATTTGGACAGACACTTAATTAATTTGTGGGAAAAATTAGTTAGAAGGGAGTGGAAGTTGATGGGGAGTGGGATTTGGATTTTGGGAAGGTTTCCATATAGGTCAAAGGACTGGGAATTAAGAGGGCATGAGAAAAATATATGGTCTAGGGTACCCTCATCAAGACCGCATTCGCACAGCGAGCTGTCACGTACGCGTATCTTGGCAAGGAATACCGGGCTAGTACAGTGGCCGAGTCTGAGTCTGCACAAAGACGAAACAGTGTGTTTGGGGAGTTTCTTGTGCTTGGAGAACCAAGGTTTCCGTTGGATATCGGTCTGGATACTTGCATAGTAAGCTCCTTTCCGCTTAGAGGAGTCCGCCCACACTGTAGCCCACGAGTCGAAGAGCTTGAGCTTAGTATCGGCACGTATGTCATACCCATACACAATATAGTGGTGACGTTCAACGTTATTCACGGCCGCAAACTTTGCCAATCTGTCAGCACACTCGTTACCGCATATACCAGAGTGGCCAGGAATCCATGCGATCTCAATATTTAGTCCGTCTCTTTGGCAGGATAAAAGCAGAGATTTTATTTCTATTATCAGACTACAATGCGTCCGGGAATATAGCTGATCTTGACCGAGCGCTTGTAGACTGCTTCGAGAATCTGAGAAGATCACTGAGTTGCTGAGGTTGTGCGATTTAATAAATTTGATGGACTCCAGAATGCCAACGCATTCCCCAGTGAACACGGAGGCTTCAGGGGGACATTTGGAGAGCAGAGCAATTCTTGAGTTCTGGAAATATGCTGCCACTCCTGTGCATCCGTCTCGGGATAATTTGGATGCATCCGTGTAAAACACATTCCAGCCGTGCCAGTAATTGCTCAGCGCGCGCTTAAAATCACCCTTGGCGTCCACTGATGACTTTGAAATGCCCAAACTCAGAACCAGCTTTGGCCTAAAGAGAATAACCTCATATGCGGAAGAGAAAACCGGAAGGATAGGGTATTGACTGATGGGTGCAGAGAGGTTTTTAAGCTCCCTATACCTAACAATCACGGGTGGGACAGGTTTATTGTTCCAATATGGAGAAGAATCATAGGAACAATGGATTTGCTCAAGGATAGGAAGTAGGGGATGAGAAGAGCGGGTCAGGACTTTAGAAACGAAACGGTCTGCCAGGTATTGTCTTCGAAGGTCGAGGGGGGGCTCTGCACATTCAACCTGAAGAGCGTTTATAGGGGAAGACTTCATAGCTCCAATAATTATTCTTAGGCATTTGGCCTGGATGGAATCTAGTTTTTTAAGTGCTTGCTTATTGCAGGGCGCCATAAGAAAACAGCAATAGTCCATCACACTTCTGACCAATGCATTGTATACGAGTTTCAGCGTGTAAGGGTGAGCACCCCACCATACCCCAGCTAGTGCTCTGAGTACACACACTGAACGCTCGCATCTTCTAACTACGGCTTCTATGTGATCTACCCCCGACATCCTAGAATCGAGGATGACGCCCAGGAACCTAGCCTTCCTCATAACTGGAATGGGCTGACCGTCTATCTCTATATGAATGTCCGGAAGGCGACGTCTGCGGGAAAAAATGACAGTTGAGCTTTTTGGGGCGCTTAAAGACAACCCATGATTGAGAAGCCATTGGTGTAATGAGGACAAAGAGACATTCATGGAGGTGGTAGCATCTGTTATAGAGCTGTTAGTGACCATTAATGCGATATCGTCAGCATACTGAAGGACTCTGCAATCATAATTTAGACAGGAAGGGAGGTCATAGGTATAGATATTAAACAGGATGGGACTAAGAACAGACCCCTGAGGTAAGCCCCTCCAGGATGTTCTCTGTAAAGGCTCATCCCCAGGAGTCCTCAATTGGAGGGTGCGGTTGGAAAGGATGCAGCCTATAATTTGGCAAATCCTACTTGGGATTCTCAGCTCTTGCAGCTTCTGCCTGAGAAGGGGTAGGAGGACCGAGTCATAGGCGGATGAGACGTCCAGAAAGACCGCCACCAACGACTCATCCCTGCTAAGGGCCAGTCGGATGGCTGAAGTGAGGGTGCCCACACTGTCAGCCGTACCCAGACCTTTCCTGAAGCCGAACTGAGTCGCCGGAAACAGCCCCCGGCCTTCCATCGACCATTCCAACCGGGTCTTTATAAGGTGTTCTAATATTTTTAGAAGTATGGACGATAGGGCAATAGGTCTGTAAGACGAATGGTCACCGGGATCCTTGCCAGCTTTCAACAGCGGCATAATAACCTGAACCTTCCAGATAGGAGGAATATAGCCGAAAGTAAAACAGAAGTTGACTAAGTCAAGGTAGTATTGCTTTGTTTTGGCTCCTGCTTTCACCAAAAAGGAGTAAGGGAACCCATCAATCCCTGGAGCGGAGTCTCTTACGTGGTTAAGAACCATTTGGAGCTCATCCATGGAGAAATCCCTATCAAGCGGGTCACGCGATTCTTCACAGTGTCCCACGCAGCATTCCTCCTCGCCAGGAACGTACAGAGGGGCAATGCTAGTAAGGAAACTGTGACTCAGACCGTCAGGCAGGATAGAAATAGAAGTAGGCTTTATAGAATTTCTGAAGCTCTTCACCCTCCGCCAAACTGTTGTTATCGGTGTTGATGGGCTCAGGGAACTACAGAATCTCTGCCACCCCTGCCTCTTCTTCTTTTTAAAAAGTTTCCTTGACTTAGCCAACACCTGCTTGAAATTAAGGAGATTTTCCAGGCTCATGTCTCGGTTATATGCCTTTTCGGCCTCATTCCTGGCTCTAATCATGGCAGTGCATTCACTATCCCACCAGGGAGGGGAAGGGATTTTGCCTTTTGGTGTGTTTTTCACAGGGAAGCAATCTTCAGCTGTAGAAGATATCAGCTCTGAAAACTTTGAAAAACACTCCAAAGGATTCTCAATATCAACACGTGGGAGGGAAGAAATGCGGATATCTAACAATTTAGAGTACAGGTCCCAATCTGCTTTTTCTAATCGATATTTTAAGAGAGGGGGGAGGGATTTATCGGGGACAGATTTAGAGAGGTGTTTGATTATTATGGGATAGTGATCACTACCATAGGTCATATTCAAACAGCTCCAATTCAACATGCTTGCCATATTGGGTGAGCAGAAGGTTAAGTCTACACAACTGCTTCTTTGCCCAAATTCAGACCTACGGGTTGGGCTGCCGTCATTAATGGCACATAGGTTAAGCTCATCTATCATTTCTACAAACTCGCTACCTATGTTGTCGCAGGTATCGGAACCCCATCTATAATGGTGACAATTGAAGTCACCCATTACAAGTAATGGGCCACTAACTGACATAAGTAAATTTTTAATTATGGCCAAATGGTTAATATTAGGGTGCGCAATATAAAACATAAAAATATTTATATCCTCAGCCTTAACAGCGACAACATTTATGTCGTCGCCAACGAAGGGTAGAGGGATCTGGGTGAAGGGTACTTTGTTACTTACTAACAAAGCACATCCTCCATAACCATCAGATCTGTCATGTCTGACAACACTGAAACATGGGATCCCGAAATTAATATTCGGTTGGAGCCATGTCTCAGCAAGTCCACAAATCGATGGTTGGAATTTGTTAATAAGGTGTAGCAAGTCACTCTTCCTGGGAAGAGTACTCCTCACGTTCCACTGGAGAATTGTAAGTGGATGGAATTTTATAAATGTAATCTACGATGGTGGCTAATCTATGGGCAACGTGGTCAGGTACGGTGTGGGCAGGGTTGGATAACACTGCCATGAGCATGCTGGAAATTATGTCTAAAATGTTTTTAGAGCTATGGGTTCCGGATTCCATAGGGAAAGCGCAACCATTCTGAGATGGGGAAAAGGAGTAGTTATGGATAAGGGCCTGATGGGCCTTCTTATCATAACTGGGAGAAAGAGGAGCATGGGATTTGGGTTTGACCAAGACAGTTTTTTTATAAGATAGTCTCTGCGGGGGTGATTTTTTGGTTGGTGTGGATTGGATGTAATTGGTGGATTTGGGTTTAGATACCTCGGCATATGACTTTTTAACTGAGGGAAATACCTGGCTTGCTTCCGCATAGGAGATTGCCTTTTCTGCCATTAAGGCTTTAATGCTCTTTTGGCGACCTAACTCAGGGCAAGCATTATAAGTAGCAAAATGGTTGCCACTGCAATTAATGCAATGAGCAACTTCTTCAGTTACTACACATCCATCACCAGGATGATCCTGACCACATCTAAAGCAACGCGGCTTGGAGCGGCATAGCGTACGGGTGTGCCCGAAACGACAACAGTTGAAACACTGTATTGTAGGGTATGTATATTGTTCTACGGGGAGTGCCGAGTAAAAACAAAAAACTTTCTTTGGAAGAATTTGCCCATCAAAAGTGAGAACCACAGTTTGGGTAGGCTTCCATTCCGTACCATTTTCTGATGACACTTTACGGTTCATCCTTCTTGCTTTTATAGGAATACCACATCCAGCGGGAACTTTGATGTTTCTAATTATTTCATCCTCTGTCCACTCAATGGGAACATCCCTCACAATACCCATTCTTGTGATGTTGTATTGAGGGATTGAGGTGACATAACTTTGTGCTACCACACAGTTAACCAGGAAACTGTTAGCATCTTGGTGAGAGACAAACTCGACCGACACTCTATTCCTACCGAGTCGCTTCACTCCTCCAATTTTAATATTATTTATGTTATTTTTTGTCAGGAACATACCGAATTTAATTGGATGGAGGGTAGTGCCAGTCGTCTCGGAGTCCTTAAGAGAAACATGAATGATATAAGGGGGGTTGTCCTTAGCCGTATAGCACTGCCTACCATTGATGTTTTTTGCTAACTTCGGAGGGTTGACGCGGGAGATAATGGGGGAGCCTGCAGGTCGTTTTCTATTAAGGTTAGATTCGGAGTCCATTAAGTCATTATCCTGGTTGTCGGGGGGAAGGGAAACACATAAAACGGGATTATAATCCGATTTGTCGGGAGGATCAGGGGGCTTCTCCTCGTCCATTGTTAAAAAAATAGAAAAGGTGGGAAGAGAGAACAAGTGTTAAAACTTAAGACTACACAATACCTTATTAAAACTTACACACACAATTAAACAACACACAAAATAAAACGTTTCAATTTAGATCACTATGAATAAGATCACTAAAATTGACAACAATCGTAGCACCGATAAAAGCACGTGCGTAACCTTCACCACTACCAACGAAAGTCCATAATTAGTTTTACTGATTTGTAAACCACTAGAACTGTCATTGTCTACTAAAACTCCAATTAAGCGAGGGCGGGGCAACATTAGTCCAAAGCCATTTTAACACATGCGCGCCCTCTCACTAAGTCAGAACTGTCAGATGAAGAAAACTGTTTTCGCGCGCTTTGTGCTATAAAACCGATTTCGCTTAATAAGTATATGATTGTTCAAAACACTTGATTGTGTTTTCATGTTAAAAGAATGAATACTATTAAGGTATAGGTACGAAGGTCCGTGAGATTGTCTGTGGACGCATAAAAGAGTGATTTCGGTGTGACAGCAGTATTGTCAGTCGCTAAAAAAAATCTCAGTTATAGCTAGCCACACAGTACAATTTTCATCATTCATTTTATGCTCTAATATAACCACGCTCTGCAAACCAATACTAACTTGTTAGTGACTTGCTGCAGTTTCCGCTCGAGGTTCTTGTTCTCCTTGGTAAGGGTGGCGACCTGTTCGCTCAGCTTGGAGGAGCTGGCCTCCGCCTCCGTCGCTCGGAACCGAAGCTTCTCACACTCCGATATGTGTTCTGCTTCTAACCTGTATTAGTATTATTTGATTTAGCTTTTGACTGTTGTCGGAAATCTGTTTACCAGCATTGTGAACGTATACTTGTTATAGGTATATCTTTTCGCTGGTATGGAGATGATGCAGTTACAATTATTATGTCTGCTAAAAACATACAAAAATGAAAAATACAAAATAATATGATAAAAATGATTTTCAGTATTAAGTGAGTGTTCTCTACAGGCTAAATAGTTCATGATGAAACAATGAAACAATTAATGATTACTAATGAATTTAAATAAACCTGTTTACTAGTTCGTGAATCTACCAAGCATTTTATTGTATGGTTCAAAAACTTTTTAATAATAATTACATCTCCAACTTACTTGTTCATTTTCTCCTCGTAGAACATCCGCTGGCTATCAAGCTGCTGTGTCAGTATGTATGTGAACTCCAGTTGTGCAGAGTCCAGCTTCTCCCCCCCACAGGCCGAGTCTTCTGAAGTAAAGCCTCCCTCTGCAGCCACCAGCTTACCATCAGCTTTGTTCTGAACTAAGCGATGGACGAAGTTGTCACCTAAAGAGAGAATAGACATAGGTACTATGATTATCTATACAATTATAATATGTAAGGGGTAATCTTTGGCACCGCTGGTCGCAATCATCAAAAACATCACCCTACGAACAATATGATGCAAAACCGCACGGCAGTAGCTATAATAAAATTGTGGTCTCGATATACCGAAATTTACGGATATATAAACAAAGTCTTTGATGCTTCCCTATTATTGAGCAACAAAACTAATACTTAATACTTCACAATTGACATAGCCAATAGACCACCACAAATGTATAACGGCCTTGGCCTGGAGAAGGCGAAGTAATTTGATGGCAGTACCATAATTATATTGAATACGAAAGTTTAAAAACACTCACCTGCATAATCCCAAACTCGATTGGACCCCAATTGCAGTGCGTATGTGTGGTTCGATGCTAAGAAATGTTTAGCTGCGTGACCTCCTTCATACCTGGAGAAGAAAAAATGGTTTGTAGTAAATACAAAACTCTAACGGCCTTATTACAAAACAAGGTTTTACTTTGGTCTAGGACTAAACCATTGAGCCAGTTTTTGAATTTGGGATTGAAGGTAGAACAAGACAATAAGATTCAAAATTCAAAACCCGACTCAATGGTTTAAACCTGGACTAAAGATAAATCTTGTTTTGTAATAAGGGCGTAATAGGTCACAAAAACTATTTCCAGCCACTTATAGAAGGATAGCAGCACCTTACAGGCTTGTCACTGCAATTTTCAAGCTGTCTCTCAATCTTGAAGATTCAAACACCTTCATAATGGAGATCTTTGTCCAGTAGTGGACTACACAGAAACTCTACTGTGAACTACAATTTGGAACGAGCACCAAGCTTCACTGACAAACAGACTGACAGACTACTATTCTATTTTGACGTTTCAAAAGTACCTATTTTCGGTTTAGTTGGAATAAATGATGTTGACTTTTGACTTTGAAAAATAAGTAAGTACCTACCTGCCACACCCAACATTCCCGCAGATGAGACAGATCCACAGCGTGCCAGCTTCCACACCGTCCAGCAATCCCTCGGCAACACCGCTAATGTTTTCACGTGTCTCGTCGCCATCTTCTTCTGCATAACGAGTAAAAAGACCAAAATAGATTTTAAGACTACTATATGGAAGAGCTAAGCTTCGGCGTGAATGGGTCTCCCTGACCGGAGTGATACACAGCCTCAAAAAACAGGCGTGAAACAAACACAGCGTGAATTTCGCCGCGTTTTAATCTCCAAATCCCTAATTCTCAAATTGTAGGCAATGCACTCGTAATTCCTCTGTTGTTGCGGGTGTCCATGGACGGCAGTCTTTTGTAGTCCTATCACAAAAAATACCTTTTCTATGCGACAAATCTACAAAGGGCTTTCTTGTTTTTTTTATTAGTTGAGAAACGGTACTGTGTCTTAATTGGTTTTAATTATTTTTTTGAATTATTGCCATCAACTGTTTACATGTCGCTAAGACACAAAAGAATAAGTTGTCACTGTTTTTCTTTGTATGAAATGAGAACTGATTAGAATTATGTGACAAAGCAAATCCTATATGTGATAATCAAGAAGTAGGTAGATAAATATAGGGAAAATGTATTTAATCAGTCATTATTTTAGACACTTTTTTTTATTTAGTTTTAGAAAAAAATATGAGTACTTACATCTTTTTCCTAGCACAGATTATCTATGCTAGGAAAAAGATGCATATATATATAAAGAGCATAGATTATCTATGCTAGGAAAAAGATGAAAGAAGTAAAACGAGAAGAGGTAAGAGCTAGTGGTACCTGCGAGTGCGGCGCGCTCGCACTGGAAGCAGACAGCCTGGCCGCGCGGCTCCGGCGTCTGCGCGCAGCGGCACACGGGGCAGCGCGCGTCGCGCCACCGCACCAGGCACTCCGCGTGGAACGCGTGCGCACACTGCACGCTCAGCACGCCCGCCACGCTCTCGTCCATGCGCTCTGCCAGACCATTACATTACTACATTACGACCTCAACTAAATGTACGAACATTGCTGTTGCACGTAGCTTCTTGGTATTCCATAAAAAATCTGGCTTTACACATCACCATCATTATTTCATATTATAAAATGAAGCATTTCTATTCTATCTCTATTGTTTGTTATTAAATCTGAACTAATGAAGACATTTGAATGCCGAATCCACCAGTGGATGGTCTGGGTTTTAAAATAAGGATCAAGTAACAACAAAATTGTAAGCTAAAAATCCCAGTTTAACTTAAATGATGCTACCACTTCCTTATTGAGTCTATGCTCTTTATAATATATTTTCCATTAACTACTCACCGAGGCAAACAGGACAAGTAGGCAGCTCAGTGTGGGAGGGCGGCGGAGTGCCGTCCCTCGCCCACTCGACGCGCGACACCCAGGCCATGTGACACAGGGCGTTAGGCTCTAAGCTGCTGTACGGCACCCCGTCGAATGTCTCGTGGAACTCACGTGCCGCGTCACTTGTGCGGAATCTGGAATAGTACATGATAAACTATATAAAAATCCACTGACAAAATGTTTGTAAAGGCTTTCTGAAAAAAATCACGCCTATATTTATTTACATTGTGTTCAAAGGAAAAAAAAAGATGTGTATGAAAAATAAATTTGACAAGTTCAGTGACAATAACAACAAAGTTATTAATCAAATTAAATTAATCTCTCTCTAAAGGTCAGGAAGGTAGAATTGAAGACAGCTTTACAAATTTAGCTTAACAAACTTACGTAAATAAAGCCATGTAATGATCAGGTGAGCCATCTCTCAACACCCTGACATGAGCAATGTCCTGCTGACAGGCCGCTGCAAAAGCCAGAAGGTCTGGAGCTCCAAGAGCCCCGGGTACGGACAGCAGACACAGGGTCTTTGCTTCCTCTGCTTCTTTCATTTCACTAAAATAAGAATAAGCTTTTATTAATGTGTTCATAAAGGATTGTTTAACCTTTATAATCATGGTAATTCGGGACAAAATAGAACAACAATAAGTGTGACAATGCTACATATGCTAGTAATAAGCAATATTATATTGTCATTAAGTAATAACTCAATGGCGGTAGTCAAATAAGTGTTAGTAGTGTAGTTTAGTGGTTAAATTGATAGCAACTCCACCCAGTTATACTGAAATATGATTTGATATTTGAGCAAGTAATAAGGATTAAGTCTTACTTTTCTTTGTACAGATGTAGGACCCCCTTTGTGACTTCAACAAGAGGGTTTCCACAAAAGAAACTGATAGTGTCTTCGTCCTCAGACATGCTGTGCTCAGGAGGGGAGCGTCTGGAGCTGGTGGGGAGGATCCCTGTGTCCATGTTTGGTCCCGTGAGAACACTAGCATATGTTTCTACAGTGATGGTCTTGGACTCACGAGCTCCACGGTCCTTCTTCTTCTGTTCTTTGGCAGCTTCTGAATAAGTTACATTGATCATTAGCTTGTTTAACACTTTCTAGATATTTCTTTAAATGAAAACCCACATGCACACAAGCATTCACTGTAAATGCTTGTATAGAATAAGCAGGTAAGATGACCCTCTGACCTTATAATTAGATTCATTCATATTTAATTAGCTATTGCCTTTGTTTGCGTAAGTTACAACTTCTCGAGAGATTTGGGTTAAGAAATAGAACATAAATCTCCTCGTGAATGCTTTCTTTTACAAGTTGCCTGTTTGATGTTGCTATTTACTGTAAACACCACGGTCGGGCATCGTGTCTACGTGTTTGCAAAAAATAATGCTTAGTCAATTTTATACAGTTGGAGGATGGTATGCAATTGCATTTGTTACATATGCTACGACTAAATCAGAGATTATCTTACCCATTTCTACAGGATTATCGCCCATTTCGGGTAGATCTTCGTCAATTTCAATACGGAGAACACACAAAGACACGGACATTTACAAGCAAATTATTAGTTCAAACAAAAAAGAAAGAAACGGCGCTATTTAGCCTTAAAACATTACTGGAGATTGTAATGACACTTTATTGTAGGATAGTGCAAACAAAGCAGTAAATTCGAGAAATTTTAGAAATCACAGCACAATCAGATGACAACAGCTTGAACAAATAAAAAATAATCAATTTCAAGTAGATAGTTTATGGCTTTGACGGGTGAGACAGCGATAGCAACTGTATACATGAGAGAATGAAACGCAACGATAACTACAAAACATCAACACAACAAAACTCTACATCCTCCAATACAGCCAATCAGTTCTTAGTCTTTGACATTATTGACAACCCCAGGCGAACAGCTGACAGTGACTTCTATTTTTTTTTTTTTGGAGTTTATGGCCTGGATACGAGTCTTTTAAGCCAAAGTGACTTCTAAAACGACAATAAGAATTACCATAGACCATCCAATTGAAATGTTGACGAGATTTTTTTTTGTACTAAAATAAATATAGTTACTCAATAGTTTTCTAAATGTTTACTTTCATCATAAGATTATTTCTACTACCAAAATAATATAAGTAGTGATATTTTGTTGTTACATTTTTATACTGAGTGCCGGTTTACCGTGTGTATCCGAACAAGATTCATTGAAAAAAATATGTTATTGTAGTTTCACACTTACTTAATGTACATTGCGTATTTTATGATAGCAAAAGAAACCTTACCTCTTACAAAAAACGTAATTGGTATCGAAAATTTAAAAAGTCGCTCTAATTGGATGCTTAGTGGAAATAGTAGAAAAAAAATATTCAATATGGATGGCTACAGATCATACGACGTGAGCTGTCAGCTGTAATAATTTTTGTTTCTTTGTGTTTATTACGCCTTTAAAAATGTTATGATCATTACGTACACGCGAATATGGGTGCGAAAGACTCAAAACCATCTTTTATATCTTACGAGGATGCAGTGAAACGAGGTACGACCAGTGCTTGGAAGTTGATAGAAGTGCGTTGTAAGAATGTGATGAATATCGGTTTATTTTATTTGCAGTGTCTGATAGTGAGTTGAGACGTATACGTGAAGCGTTCAAGAGATGTGCCGGTGCAAACGGAACGGCCTTGAGCTTAGAGGCGTTCGTCCACGAAGTGCTTTGTGATGGAGTTCCCTACGAGGTGGCCGAGTGGCTTTACCAGGCGTGTGGCGGCACCAAGAGAGGGATCGCCTTCAGGGAGCTACTATGTGGTATCGTAGTCCTCACTAAGGGCAACATCGAAGAGAAAATAAAGTGAGTAGTCGCCTGTATGTCCATTGTTACTTGTAAACAATTACATCACTGTAATTATCAGATGATGTATATTGTTGTGCTGTACTAGATGCGACATTTTTTTTAAAAGATCTAGGAAACATTTCAACTTTGTCATTAGGGACTGGTTTAATCTATAGAGTTAAAATTGTGTTTTGTAAACGATATAATGTTTTTGTTGGGCACTATTCATGTAGCTACTTTTAGTTCAGTTATTATTGTACATGGGTTTGACAATATGCAATGAGTTGCCAGTTTTCTGTAATTTTCCGAGATAGTATTCATCTTGATACAATTGAATTGTTACCTACAAGTGACCATAAATAGCTGACTTCTGTGGTTTATCTTATTATGACAAACAAACCAACATGATAATGATCTATTGATCATTGACAAGAGGTACATTTACCTCTTGTTTTGGAAATCTAATAACACAGTAAATATTTTGTTTTCTTTGTTTGATTCCTGAAATAAAAACAATAGTTACTAAGAATACCTTCACAAAAAGTGCTTAGAATTTACCTGCTTCATCATAATTATGAGATGAATCGGATTTTATATTGGATGCTGTGTTGTAATTAAATTTAGTATTAAATTTAGTAAAAACTTATTTCTGAATTCTTTTGACTTTAGTATAAGTTACCGATCAAAGAATTTCATACTCGAGCATATAACTCTTTCTTTTGGTTTCAAGCTCTGATTGTGTTAAAGAATAAACCTCATCATTAATGAAATAAATAGGAAGAAGTAATACAATCAATAAATAAAAATGATGTGGTACAATAATTTAAGTACCCAAGTTAAATAATTATCATTACAATAATCTTCTGAGATTATTACTGAGGTAAACAATATGATGACAGGATTTCATAAAAAAGTCTGTATTTATGCAACTGTGATGTAAGAATAATAATAATGATGATTAAATAACGAAAAATTAAAAACAAATGCCCAGACAGAAAAATCTCTATCTGCCACAAGATGGGTGAAAAACTGAAAACACTGCCTATAGTGGAATACAAAAACAAAACTTCAATCTATTTTAATAACAGTGCCATCACCATAAGTACTCGTAGATTTCCTAAACACAAAATTATGTGTGATTATCCTCAATTCATTGTTCACCAATGGGTTTAAAAATAATTTTAGTACAATTGTTGAGTAAAATTATATCTACCTCGAGCTTCCTGTTACCCATGTTTAATCACTTGATTTTGCATATCTCTTGATTGTGTATGACATGATGTCAGCAATCAAAGTGCTTACTTTTGTACTATTATCATAATAATAATATTTTATTTCATGTGTTTCACTCTTTTACTGTTTTTGCTAACCCTTGCAGATTTGTAAAGTATTATAATATATTGTTTTTTTTGTGAGAAGTAATGAGTTTTCTAGTTCATTGATTTATCAAGCTTGATTATAACTAGTTCAGGTGATATTTTCTTTTTATCTGTGCTATTGTCTGTGTTATGTAGTTGGCAAACTCATACAAAATTAAAGAGAGCATTTTGAAGTAACACTGTTCTGGGCTTGTATTTAAGTAAGGGACGCATAATTGTCTTTCACCATCACAACACAACAATATACTATCCATACCATACATTTTTAGGTTTCTCTGGACACTTTATGTGAACAACCAAGGAGACAATGGAACATACATATACAAGAAAGATTTCGCGCGAACTCTCCATCTGGAATATAGTTCACTCCCCTATACTGGGCCACAAAGAAATGCAGAAATACTTATGAGCCTGTTTGGCCCAGCTGAAAAGGTCACATTCGATCAATTTCGGTCATGGCTACTGATACACAAAGATGCGACAGTGCTGTCGAAATGGCTCCTGTCGGAAGTCAATGTGGCCCAGGACCTGGAAACACCCACATTCTACCAGAGTCTGGCAGGAGTCACTCATTTGGAAGAGCGGGTGAGTGCTTATTTTTGTTACTCTAAGATTTAATATTTGTATCGTTTCTTTTCTCTCTTATCTTGAGAATTGAAATATTTTTAGCTGTAAGGTTCGTTAATCTTAAGAGTATAAGAGCCGTAAGATTAAGAGTATTTTGAGACAATCGACACGTTAATTCGTAAAGATGTGGTGCTAATAAAGATTTGAGTCAATCGGACAGTGTAGACGGCGCGGGAGTAGGTACTGTAAAACAAAGCGCTCTTTGTAATAATAAATTTCAGGCACGTATAATACGATTCTATCTTTGCCCGAAAGCACCAATACCTGCTTACTCATTGTGAAAATTAAGGTTGTGATAACCATATAATTCATAAAAAATATATTCCTTGATAAATATATCCTGAATGATCGTATTTTTGGAAGCACGAGAAATTGTCGGTTTTCCGTTAAACGGACAATCGATAACGTGAAATGGTGGCTGATCATCTAGTTGAGTTGATACAGGCACTGATAACGATATCAAATCGCCAGACATCTTGTAGTGACGTCAAATGGCCCGAAAATGTCTGGATACTGCGCAAAATTGATTCACTGATTAGTATTATTAGAAATAACAGTATTGCTGGTCAGAATTTATGTGCATTTAGTCAAGAGGTAGATGAAGTTGGATGAAGAGGTAGATGGTTACAATAAACGTTGACTGTTCAGTGTTAATGTATATTAATATATAGAAATAGTCAGCATTCATTTTTATTTTAAGTTTATTTTATTATCTTGTTCGTTTTGTGTCTTTTATGCGTCCCAGACGCGAATAAATACTTTTTCTTTCTTTCTTTTCTTTCTTTTCTTTCATTCCATTATGGGTTTACAACAAGGTCAATTGTAATAAAAAGCGTTTATTCCTGATACAAAACGCCAAATACAAACAAACTGTGGGTAGCAACAAACAACAAAGAATTAGATATATGACATGACATTAAACAGACATGAAGTTACAAAATAATATCCGCATTTATAACATATTGCAGTACCTAATATCACAATTAGATACGCGCAATAATACAGCCAATAGAATTACTAATAAATTAATCAATTTGCCAGTATCCGTAGCTTTATCTCATTTTCCGCTCTGATTAAGCAAATCTATATGCAAAATTCAATTTTTTATCGCTATTTAATATACTCGCACGAAACTGTTGTTAATTCTTTATTCTTTAATCACTATTTAGAAGGCTGTTATACAAAGTCTTCAACAATTGATTAGGTATGTAATTACGTAGATGAATCTCTGCAACAGAAGTTGTAATTAGATACACACGATTTTCCGTACCACCGTGTCGAATTCCTTTTTTAAGGGCAGTAAAAACCATTTCTTATTTATCTGCCGAGTTCAAATAGTAGAATTGATACGAACAAATCGTTTATCAGATGTAGTCTATCTGTTGTCCTATCTACGATATTTTAGTGCTAAGTAAGTGCGAATTGATTTAGTTTATCATGGCCTAAAATCTCTTTAGATAAATAAGTTTTCTTTCTTTAGTTTTTATGTGTTTCATAAACACTTCTTTAGTTGTGTCTTTGTTTATACTTTAAGGTATCTCTGGATATCTCTCCATGAAGCGACGTTTTATTTCTTCGATATCAGTGATAACTGAATTTCTATCCCAAAGTAAGCATATCTAAGTATGTCAAAGATTTGTCATCAATATTTTCCCATGTTTTGTAAGTGCTAAAACTCGGTTAGATCACGATACATTACTAACTCACTGAGAATCTGTGACTACAACTACATTTTGCGCACTTAGTGCTAGTTAGTCACAATTATCTCAATAACGACTTGAATGTTTGTGAGAACGTGTCTCTGTAAATATTACATGTTTATGGTATTTTAAAGTTTTTTTTAACATACATGAGCATGTTGTAACGTTATACCGTTGTGGATAAGACTTTAAAAAATCTATTCGGTTGTTTACTGCTACAATAAGTAGAATATCCATGTTTTATGATCGTGTATTTTACTTTAGGTAAGTTAGGTATAATCAAAACTTATTCAGGCCACCTGCCATTTTCATAGTTACATACCTACATAGGTATGTTACTCATTGAATCATATTATATTACAGTTGACAAAGGATTACTTTGATCGCTTGTTATCAACAGGTGTTGCAATCCAAACCATTGCGCGTTACTAGTTATTTAGGGGACGAAATGATTCGTTGGCTGATTTCTTTTAATCCCTCAGAGGGAAATCCCAACCGCAGTAATAACTTGGTTAGTATCGAAACTAGTCTATTAATGTCGCAACGCACTCTGCCTTACGCTGGCCGTTGCATTGTGACACGCTTTTAACTTGCATATTATTTGTAAACATGACCGCATCTGATAGATAGATATCTTTATTCTAATCGATTGTTGTTGTTGTAATAATTTATTGCTCATTTGTTATTTAAATAAGTTTTCTTTGATGTGTTTCTGTACGTAATTATTTGTTAATTTATTGCGAATCTCATGGTCTGGTAAAGTACGCTAATAGTATGACGAAATTATTAGATACCTAATTAGATCAACTTTACTAATGGCGTATTAGAAAATAATATGAAAAGTCTATTTATGCTAAATTTATAGAGTTTAAGAGGGTTCCGTGAAGGTTATTTAATAAGATTATGGTGGTGATTTGTAAAAATAGTAGAAGTCATCTTTTTTATATGATAGGGCGGTTGCTTACCATGAGGTGAAGCTAGACACTTCACCTCATGGTAAGCAATCGGTGTCGTCCATGGACACCCGTCATATCAGAGGAGTTACGAGTATGTTGCGAGAGGATAAGAGAGTAGGGATTGGGCTTCCCCAACGCTCTGGTTGTTTTTTCACACCTGTTTTTGGTATCACTCCGGTCGAGCCCACACATTCCTTGAACTCCTACATCTTAAGTACCATGAGATTGGATAGAACCGTTATTTTTAGCATTCTGTCTGCTATCAAATTGTTCGTTGTTTACCGGCAAATGTTTTTACAGAGTCTGTCACTTATTTGCTATCTGTTTGAGTGCCTTATCTTCACCAACACTGTAGCACTTTTGACATGATAATATCTTGCATGTAAATATCGTACTTTTGTACCTACGTGCATTTCGTTCTCGTATGTTCTGATTGACGCTTGAGACGTAAGTTGTAGGTAATTGGTAGCAATAGTATTTGTTAAAGTAGTTAATTTTTGGTCGCTTTAAAGCCAGGCAAGCTACCAATTGGCTCTCAGTTCCTTATATAGCCGTTAGTGGAGCTATTAAACATGCCATAAAAATTACATCGTCCCGTTCCAGTACCGAAAAATACCTGTCTTATAAACTCATAGTGTGCTAAAGTATTGCCCTTATACAGCACTCGTTCGTCCTCCTGTCTACCGTTATTGATTATTTAATTTTGAATTCAAGACTGACCTTACCAAGGTCGTGAAAGGTCCTTAGGTCGTACCGATCGGTGCTAGGCTCCCCATGCGGGGTGGACGCGACTGCATTTACGATTACTAAACTAGCTTTCAAACCGTAGCTTCGAATGCAATATTCAAATTCACAACACGACATATACACTTGAATTTTCCTCAAGGGTAATTTTCGTCCATTAATGAAAACTGCATTGAAATCAATTCAGTAGTTTTTGAGTTAATCGCGACTACAGACGTAAAAAACTGACTAATTGGGACTTAATTCACAAAATAATCCAGAATAGTACAGAAGCATTAGTTATTCGAGGAAATAAATAACGACTTCCCGTGTTCTGACATGTAAGAAAACTACTTTCTACAAAAATATAAACAAAGCAATAATTTAAACTTGTCCAATAAAATGTACAATTCTTTCTGTCCAGCATTTTCCGGTTACGAAAGTAAATATTTGTATATATAATGTTCTGCTAATACTAACACAAAGTGAACCGTCCAAATATTGGTAAATACACGTATCTACTAAAGAATCAATATAAATATTTGTTGACGATATCAATGCGTACTATATCAACAATAATAATAGACTAATTTCAATTATTTCAAATTAATTCGGGTCAATCAATTATTTGCCCATAACGTATGAATGAGTACAAACAAATTGGTACAATTTAATGGAATTTAAAGCATTCAATGTTTATGAAATTGATACTTCGATAGTGTATATGATAACCTACAATGTTGTTCTGATAATTTCGATAACGTATGGTAATGAAACTGTTATAGGTTTCCGCAATTAATGCGACATCATTGTTTAAAAAAAATACAGAAGTCTGATATTCATTGATTTGTGTAGTCAAATTCTATACGTATTGTATTATACTACCTAATATTATAAATTGTTTAAACGCTACTAATCTCCAGAATGACTGGTCCGGATTGAATAATTGTTTTTGTGTTGTTTTGTGGAGAAAGGCCACATGCTACACAACACCATGCTAAGACCAAAGGAAATATTCAATGCCTTTTTGACGTAATTGAAACAAATGTTTTAACGTAAACTTTGAGCGAACACCCGAAAACAAACTAGTGCCTAATAATAGTTATTAAATAATAACAAAATAATAATCCTCTTATGACATAGCTTCGCGTAACTAAAGGAAGTGACCTATTACGTATGGTCGGACAATGGGATGGTGAGATGTTACATCTTATGAGTGGCTGTGCCCAGCGCCTGATCTTTGAACCCGGCAGATTCCACGAGGCAATAGACTATCAGTACACTCTCATATCCCATACGGAACCAGAGGCACTGATTGGAATTATTTGCCTGTCTCAACGAAATTGATGTAATATAAACCTACGTTGATGATGATCACCTGTGTTGAAAAAAAAGCTTATACACGGTCGAATTGAGAACCATCCTCCTTTTTGGAAGTCGGTTAAAAAGAGCAGGACATAGCAATAATTGATGCAGTGGCCTACTGGTAACTGGCAACTGGCTGCTGTGCAACGGGTCGCGGGTTCGATTCCCGCACGAAAGACCAGTGAGATCCATACATTGTTGTTTCGGGTTTGAGTGGCTTGTGTATATTATGTTAAAATTACATAAATTATCTTTTCTCTTACTGCATTTAAGTTAATCATCATCAGTGGCGCTAATACTTATGAATTAACGCCAGTTGTGAATGAATCATTAATTTAATTTAACGTGATCAATTTGATTAATTTAGTTTAATTGACAAGATACTGATCAATGATAAACAATCTTCGACCCATTTTATATCGACACATTTTTTAATCTGTTTTTGTATGTAGAGTGGTTCGTATAAAGCTCGCCATCGCTTTTAGCGCTTTCAAAGCGTTCGCAACAGTGTGTGACGGGAAAGTTGAGCGCTTTTTCAATTGCGGCTTTTACCCCACACTGAAAATCTTTAAAGTGGTTTTCCACAGTGAATGAAATTGCATGTTTTTGTGACTTGCTTTTTTATAGCTATTGAAAATAGTTTCACAGAGCTCGCTGAAGTTGGAATCGTTCGTTTGATGTTAAGTCAATTGAACAGTTTATTCGAACTGCGGATTAAACGGACAAAAACGATGATTGCTTTTTATTCGTAGAGTCATCTAGCTTGTTTTTAGTTTAGCTTCCGTAGTGTCATTAGGAAACCTGTTAAAATCAGTTTGACGAAATTAGATTACGCTTGTTAATAATGGCTCAACAAGACTACGTATTTGATTCTTATATTTCAACGTTTCATTCATTTCGTTGGCACGTTGCGTTCCGCTCGCGCCTCAATAAGCCAATAGCCCACCACAGACGGGGTTCTTTAGGGCTGATGTTGAGCCGGAGTTGAAGGGCAAGCGCGGCAACGCGGCCTCGGCCGCAGAAACAGGAGAAGTAACAGGGGTTTTTAGTCAGTAAGAGTGATTTGATTTTGCCTCTCAAAAAGCCTGATTATTCTAGGTTCATATACTCATACCAGATTTAAGAGTTAAAAGTATTATCAATGACATATGTCGGTATCTGGGCCTTCACTTCCCTTGATTACCAATATTTTGTAATTGCGAATGTAACTAAGTAGCAAATTATATGGTCGAACCGATACCACGGCCGCAATTATATCTAACTTGTACATTTGAATAACATGTTATGCAATTTTCGTTGGCAGTTAAAATAACGTTCTCTGGAGAACGTGTAGTTCAAAATGTAATCTAGCATACTTGAAGTTAAATTTACTTATATAATATACCCCAATCCTTGTATCTCTTATATCTAAAAGACCGTCAACCCTCTACAACCCTTCTTCAAAAAAGACCGGCAACGCATTCGCAACTCCTCTGGTTTTGCGGGTGTGCATGGGCACCGCCCATTGCTTACCATCAGGTAACCCGTCTGCTCTTTTACCTATATCATAAAAAAGAAAAAAAAAGGCCGATTTAGACAGGGTTCGGAATAGGGATCCTCGATTCGCTTCCAACCGATTGATTTTTAAGTCATTGATACGGTTTCAGAATTAGATATCTTGATCCTAATATGATAAAATCATGATGGTGACAAAGATGTCTAGTCCTAGTGTTTTACTCATATATTTGCTTGATAGTTTGCCTAAAAATGTATTTAGTGGTAATTAAGCATCTAGTTTATTTGATGTTATGGTAATTATATGCATCATACTAATAAGTACCATTTAATGGCGGCGACTTTTGGAAACCAGTTGCAATTTTACGACCTGTTAAATTCAAAGTGTGTGTAAAGAGAAAAACAAAACCATGTTGTGTTTTTGTTTCTAAAAATGTATGATTTTTATCAATTTTCAATGGTGTTATCAGTCTGTCGTTTTCATGGAGTGGTTGACTGATAAAAATGTGTGCGCACTTGAAACACGGTGTTAATTAGTAAAGAGTTTAATTGTCTATTACACAATTGGTTTTGATATGCTATCTGTGGCGCTTAGCGTTCACAGTCGGTCTTTCAACCTCGTTCCTTACTGACATGGACTTATAATACTTATAAGCTACTAGCGCCCTGTTCCGGCTTCGCACGGGTGTAATGCTTATACAAAATTCCTCCACTATTTAATGGATGTTATTATACATATAAACATTCCGCTTCAATCACTCTTTCTATTAAAACAAAAACAGCATCAAAGTCTGTTTGTGTAGTTTTAAAGATTAAGGCCTACATGAGTAAGGGTAGCTCGCCGCCCGAACAGAACCAGACCCGAGCATAAGGCGCGAGCCCTATAGGGCTGATGTTCAGCCGGGGTTGCGGGTTAAGCGCAATGAAGCACCGCGGCCTCGGCCCAGAGCAGAAGAAGGAACGGGGGTTTTTTAGTCAGTAAGAGTTTGACATTCTCTCTCTTACCTTACCCTGGGAGAATTCATTTGATGATTTTCCCCTGACAAAAAAAGCCTACATAGGTATATACGTACAAAGAAAGCGATTTTGTTTTATACTATGAAGTCATTATTCATTATATTCGACTGTGGCCACGGGTAGCTTAGTTAGTGATTTTACGCCGCATATAAAGTTTATAAAGTACAAAAATGTACTTGAATTCGTAATATATAGAGCCTAGAAGAATATTATAATAAGAAAGATATTTTACTAATTTCACACTGACTAAGACTTGGTGAAAAGCATTTATCCCGAACTCGGCTATGAATCAGAAAACTCGTTCGCTCGTCGAAACAACTTCATTATTTTACTGGAAAACCTATTATGTAACCACAACACGACTTCCTTAACTATTTACATGTCAAAAGAATTTACTAGTTTATTGTTTTAGAGTGGGAGACAATACACTGTTGACTTATTAGCAATAATAATGTTTCGTTAATTTACGAAAATGTGTATTGGTGTTTACCTACTACCCAATAATTTAGATTAGATAGGTAAATGGTGAATAGTGGGAATTACCCTTATAAGTACATCGTGCTTTGGTCCACATATTTTTAAGTGGGAAAATCATCAATGCGTGGGGCAAGAAGGAGTGTCAGATTTTTAATGACTAAAAACCGCCACCTTCCTTCCTCTACTATGAGTTGTAGATGCGGAACATTATTGCGCTTACACCCATAACCCTGGCTGAACATTGGCCTTAATGGGCGAATCATTATCTGTGGTGGTTTACCGGATCTATGAGGCGCGCATGGAACGCCCCGTATGTTAGCATCTGGCTTTGGCAACCCCGGATTCCTACACCTTTGCTGTCTATTCCGTCAAGTATCCAAATGTTTGTTGAATATCGGCTTGTATTACTATATATATAAGAGATGTAAACGTTTTAACACACCTACAGATATACATAGTACATCCACATAAATAATTTGCATTGCATTGATGCAGATTCTTATTCTATACAATCTAACAAAAACATTGTACAAATAAGGTGCGTCTGTAATATCATCTACAGGTTGCAGTACTTAGAAAGATCCAAGGGCATTCTTATAAAAAGTATCAATGTATGAAAATAAAAGATATCGCATATTTATTGTCTCTTGATACTCCGTATCTTATGAGGTAGAAGCGTACGCTGTTAGAATGCAAATAAAAAATCTGATGAAATAACTACCTACGCAAACATTTCTTAGAAATTATCAAGATGCTAAACTTTATGATTGTTTTTATTACAAATCTGTTGTTTTATAAGGACTTATATGTACAAATCAAACTTAGTCATAAGTGAAGTGCGTTTATGCAAAGGAATGCCATTCCAGCCCTAAGTTATCCCTTTCTCTATAGTAGGAATCTTGAAACTAATGGGAACCTACCTTTCAGGACATAATAGAACTGGAGAAATGTTTCTGGACTCTAAGGAATGCTGCTCCAACGGGACAGTTGGATGCAGAAAGCCTGTCCCCTCTCCTGTCTCCGCCCCTCCCTGCGGCAGCCGTCGCGGGCGCATTCCTGGCCTTCGACGAGAACAGGGATGGCCATGTGGACTTCAAGGAGCTGTGCTGTGGACTCAGCGCGGCCTGCAGAGGACCACGGACTGAGAGACTTAAATGTTAGTAACTATTTTGTTTCTCATATGTATTACTACATTTCAACATTTTCTGCATCCTACGAATCACACACAACGCGACGATCGTTACAAACGAGAGTTGGCTGCCTGATGTCCGCCGCATCTGGTGCCGCTCATTGCTTCTTATGGATATGAGCTCCTAGCGTGACTTGAAAACAGTCGAGTTCCTCGTCAAACAGTAAAAAAATATTGGTTGGATGGTCGGTATCGGCATAATTATTAACTATTTACTTTCCCAATTCCGTTTTAATTGCATTGTAGCATAGACAAAGTAGTTTAGATAGTAAGTTCGTCATTTGCATCGAACTTTTTATATATCCACGACTCTTTAGATTAGGTTCGGGATTTGCAGATGTTCCGTATGTGTGATAACTAATTGGTACCGGACCTAGGCTTGCTAATAATTTTCTGTGTGTTTGCTAACAGGCCGATTTTTCGGTACTCATTTTAATATTATTACAATTTGTGTTAAGGAATTTCAATCAAAACTTAGCTTGTGTCTGTTATCTATATACATGCTTATGTATCTTATTGTTCCATTGTGTACAAGTGTGCGAGTGTGTCGCCCGTCATTGTTAATTGAAGCGATTTGTACATAGAGTAAACATTGCTACCGACGAACATCCTGATTCCGTGATAATATTTGCTAGTTATTACATTAATTTACAACAAAATTATTTAGCTGTTGATATTGAGTGTTATAAAAATATCGAAACTATTAGTGGTTTTTTATAAACAACGAGAAACAATATTACTGTCACTACATAGTACCTATAATAAAAGAAAGTCGCTTTCTTTCTTCCTATGTCCCTTTGTGTGCTAACATCTTTAAAACTACTCAACGTATTTTGATGCGGTTTTTTAGAACTCAGAGTGATTGAAGAAGAATATGTATACGAATAATAACATCTGTTAAATGGTAAAAAAAAATTGTACCAGAATTGCTCCTGTGCGAAGTCGGGGCAGGTCGCTAGGTTTAATCTAACTTGCTTATTTTTACCATGTCATAAGTAGGTTCTACTAGACCTAAAGTGTGGGAGAGCCATGCTTCGGCACGAATGGGTCGGCTCGACCGGAGTGATACCACGGCCTCACAGAAAACCGGCGTGAAACAACCACAGCGTTGTGAGGTGTTTACCGTGTGAGTGAGGTTACCGGAGGCCCAATCCTTCCCCACCCCCAATTCCTCCTCAATCCCTAAATCTCCAAATCCCTTATCCCTAAAATGTCTTCAACGCACTCGTAACTCCTACGTTACGGGTGTCCATGGGCGGCGCTGATTACTTACCATCAGGTAATCCGTCTGCTCGTTTGCCGATCTTATTACATATAAAAAAAAACCTCGGATGTACGCTGTAGCGTTGCTTACATACTTGCATAGAAACTGGAAATGTAATTCCTATCTTACAATATTTATCCCTGAGTTGTTACTCCGGTACGCCATGACGTCAATTATCGAATGCCACCAAAAATAAACGACCACGTAATATTGATAATAAACCAGTTTGTCAGTACACTTGCCTCGCTTCTTTCCTTATCTCTAGAGGAAAGTTGGCGATCGTTTGCAACGGGCCACTGTCACTTGTTTTAGTATGTAAATGCTGCGTATATATGATGCGCTGATGTTATATATTTGGATTTTGTTAGTATGCCATCTTTAGTCTACAAGTTCGGGGTTTATCACATTAATGATTTCTCTTCACTACTTTGTCCGATTTTTATGTATAGAATTTATAAAATCTGTTTATTAACGCCAAGTTTTCAATACACAGCCGGAGTTGCGGGGTAAGCGCAATGAGGAACCGCGACCTCAGCCCAGAGTAGGATGAGGAACAGGGGGGTTTTTCGTCAGTAAGAGTCTGACACTTCCTCCCACCCGGCCCTGGGCGGGAGAAGTAATTTGATGATTTTTCCCTCACAAAAAAGTTTCCAATACAATTCAAAAAAATTAAAATTGCTCGGCTTAATGCTTTGGCCCGGCCAATGAAGGTTCTATTAAATAGCACATAGTTCTTAATTTAAATTACGTTCCGTATTCATCACATTGGTGATTGCGAAAAAATTTCTTATTTTCGTACAGATAGAATATGTTTTTCCGTGCCACTTAATGATGTAAGAAAGTTACATATTGTCAATATTTACATGTATTGTTTCGGAACTTGGTACCAGTCAGACGGGTCTCAATGAAAACTGGATTATAAATTATTTATTACTTGTTGTTTGTTCATAGTTATGTTATTTATGTATGTATTTCATTCACGTTTGTTGATCTTTTTATTCCAGTAAATGCAAGCACAACTGTTAGATGGTCCGAGTCAGAATTGACGAACTTGTTAATACAATACTATCTAATCTAATACTGAGTATAGAGACGGACCTCTAAGTTTGCTTCGGCATTACTTCCCAGACTAGTAGTTTTTTACATATATTTTTTGACGTGGCCTAACTTGACGTAAATTTATTCATTTTTATTTGTCATAAGCCCAGTTTGATCGGTTGTAAGCGACCTGCATTCTTTATCTTTCTTTGATCGTTTTGCTTGAGGTGGGAGTAAGGGTGGATGTGATCAAAAAATTAGGGAAAATCATCAATGAACTCGCCCATCCTAGCTGGGACTCTTACTGATTATGAACTACGACATTTCTTCTTCTGCTCCAAGCAGGATAACAGCGCATCATTACGCTGTCACGCTCAACCTGGACTGACCTCGCTCTTAAATGTCAAATCCATACAAAACTTACTTTAAAAAGTAATGAAATAATAAGTTCGAGGTTCCGTATGTCACCTTTCTCGTTCACTAGCACACGGTTCATGTAATCTTTGAAGTTCAATGTTGTTGACGATTATTTAATTAACACTTTATGAAACGGCTATCTCATGTTTACATACGAGTGACGACATTTTTTATGTATACGAGTACAGTTGGAAAGAAAAATGTGTCATAATTCACGATTTTACGTAATAGATGCTATAACACCTTCTTTGTTCCTTGAGTATGTATGAGATCAACACTTTTTCCCAGTTTTTTTTTTATATTATGTCGACAAACGAACAGACGGATTACCCCGATTGCACCCGCAAAAACAAGAGTAACGAGTGCGTTGTCTACCTTTTGGGGATTAAGGATTTGGAGATTTTGCGGATTTGGGGGCGGGGAAGGATTGAGCCTCCGGTTACCTCACTCACACAGCGAAACACAATGTTCTTTGGCTCTCCCACACTTCTTCGTCCCATGTAACTAATTATAAGTATTAGAGAACTTGCTACACATTCCAAGCGCTTTGCTATAATTGAAAATGACACTTATTGACCCAGGAAATGGACTTGAGACCTTGATCTTACTATTAAGTACACTTTATTAACATGGCGTGATATCATATTTTGTACTCGTCTCTTTTTTCTATCGCCGGGGTATGGCGAAATTGGGTGTCATACTCTTTCTGGGTAAATGAGGTATTCCTCGTAGCGCTCCCGTTTTGAAACGCTCCCATCTAAGCGCTCCCGTTTTATTCCTCTTAGCGCTCCCAAAAGGAGCGCTTCGAGGAACGATTAAAAATATTAAAATTTATTTCCTCGAAGCGCTCCCACGTTTAAAAATAGGGAAAAGCATGAAGTAAACGTAATGAATTATATCGATAATTTTTAAAAACTCATGTGTGCATCATCGACCGATCGATGTTTATTATACGTATATAATTTATATTAAGTTTAGGTATATATGCCTTTTATTTATAACATCTTCTTTGAATACAAAATAACATTGGTCCTTGTATACACATAAGAGTGCCGAAAGCAAAAAGATATTATTCTCTCAATTTAGTAATTTGGTTTAGCAACTTCGATGTCGATGATGCACACATGAGTTTTTAAAAATTATCGATATAATTCATTACGTTTACTTCATGCTTTTCCCTATTTTTAAACGTGGGAGCGCTTCGAGGAAATAAATTTTAATATTTTTAATCGTTCCTCGAAGCGCTCCTTTTGGGAGCGCTAAGAGGAATAAAACGGGAGCGCTTAGATGGGAGCGTTTCAAAACGGGAGCGCTACGAGGAATACCTCCCTATAAGGAGGTATCTATATATCCTCCCTATAAGGAGGTATTCCTCGTAGCGCTCCCGTTTTGAAACGCTCCCATCTAAGCGCTCCCGTTTTATTCCTCTTAGCGCTCCCAAAAGGAGCGCTTCGAGGAACGATTAAAAATATTAAAATTTATTTCCTCGAAGCGCTCCCACGTTTAAAAATAGGGAAAAGCATGAAGTAAACGTAATGAATTATATCGATAATTTTTAAAAACTCATGTGTGCATCATCGACCGATCGATGTTTATTATACGTATATAATTTATATTAAGTTTAGGTATATATGCCTTTTATTTATAACATCTTCTTTGAATACAAAATAACATTGGTCCTTGTATACACATAAGAGTGCCGAAAGCAAAAAGATATTATTCTCTCAATTTAGTAATTTGGTTTAGCAACTTCGATGTCGATGATGCACACATGAGTTTTTAAAAATTATCGATATAATTCATTACGTTTACTTCATGCTTTTCCCTATTTTTAAACGTGGGAGCGCTTCGAGGAAATAAATTTTAATATTTTTAATCGTTCCTCGAAGCGCTCCTTTTGGGAGCGCTAAGAGGAATAAAACGGGAGCGCTTAGATGGGAGCGTTTCAAAACGGGAGCGCTACGAGGAATACCTCGGTAAATACTCTCGTTATAAATAAAATGAACTGCTCATCTATACTTTTATACTAATATTGTAAAGAGGTAAAAATATCTAAGTTTGCACGTTTGTAAGTTTGTATGTAGGGAACTTTGGAACCGCTGCCTGGTCGGATTGCCAAAATTCACTGATAGATAGCTACAATGTTCCTGAGTGCTATAGGCTACTATAATAATCGCGCTACGATCAAATAAAAAAAAAATAACGGTTAGAAACATACAATTTCACATGCACATGACACCCAGATCCG